GTGCAGGAAAACTACTCTTCTCGTTGCCATTTTTCTTTAACTGTCTCGAAACATAGACGAGCCCTTGAGATCTTTTCCTGTTTTCTTCAATATTCACAAGTATATTTTTATGCTTTTCCCGTTGACGCGCAACTAGTGCTTAATTCTTTTAAAACAGAGATGTACCAGCTTCTTCTCTTGATTTACAAATATGCTCATATTGTTACGGATTGATGTTTTAATATGCTCTGAATCAAGGCTCGTATTTCAATGTAATCCTGGAGGATCTATCTAAAATAAAGAAATGTATTTACACATCCCTTATGAATCGTTGAGTATTAATCTGTTTAATGCAATGTCTCTTTTTTTTTCTGTCAGTTACTATTGACAGTATCTGAATTCAAAATTTATTTTTTTCACCATTTTAGAGGCATATTTCGTGAAATTAAGCACAAAACAGTATCACTACGAAACTCTGTTTCATTTTGTTTTATTGTTTCAGTCAGTCTTCTAATAACAGTATATAAATGTTATTTTTTTACCATTCTAAAGGTATCATGCGTCGTGAAATTTCAAACGAACCGTGTCAATACGAAACTCTTTTTTTTTCTTAATTTTTTGTTTCTGTCAGTTTTCTTATGACAGTATGCGAATGTAATATGCTTTTAAAAGGCATCATTTTACGTGAACTTTCAAACGAACCGTGTCACTAAGAAACTCATTTCTTTATTAATTTTTTTCTGTCAGTTTTCTGAAGACAGTATGTGAATGCAATATTTATGTTATCGCTGTTCCGAAGCAAAATATTTTTAAAAAATTCGATCCAAGCGCAAAGTGAAATTAGTAGAAAGTCTAATAGGTCACTGTTCCCTTTATCTGCAAACCAAATTTTTTTTTATTGTGGCACGAGAAAGTTACCTAATAAGACAGACCCCCAAATGTTATTCGTTCATGTATACTTTTGAACCAAACCTGATTTCACTTTCTTTCTGGAAATGATTAATATCATTCCACATTCTAATTTCTTAAAAGACAAACCGAACTTTTAAGGTAATCTTAAATTATCATTTCAGATAATGAGAAAAACCACGGTAACACGCGTGATTCTATTCACAACAGAATAGTGAAAAGTATTTTTAAAAAATCAGAACGGTAAAAGTAATTAATTAATGAAAACATAAAAATTGAATAACTGAAATGCAGAAGAAAGATTTTGACAATTTATAGATGATCTTCCCATATGTAAATCATTGTGAGCCATTTATACAGGAACACAGACACGCAATGAAGGGGATTTGGAGCATTTGAAGAATAGTTGAGGAATAACAGATACCCAGACCATCCTCCATCCCTCCCCGCAATCTTTCTCAAAATAGCTTTTATTAAACATGAAGCTTGACTAAGTGTTTAATTTGAAATGTGTTCTTTTGTGATCCACCAAATTAAAGGAAAAAATTATATATATATATATATATAATGTTTCTGGCAGCTGTAATGGAATCACAACATGGTCAATATGCTGCAAAAACACTGCTGTCCTATGATTAGCAATAGAGCTTTATCATGTGGTGGCCATCGAGTCTTCAGGGTATGTGCAAGCAGAATTACATGGTGTGGTCATAAAAGAACATGTCCTTTTAATGATTTATATTACAGCGAGAAGCATTACTTAGGCAGCATTCTATAAAAAACTTAACACAGGCAGTAATTGCGAGCAGAATTAGTCAATAACTATGCAAGTTCAATACTTCTTCCTAGGTGGAAAAAATTTCGAAATTTCCCGCTTAAGTAACCTAATATTCTTAATGCAAACAACTGATAAAGAAATGCTTATCACATACTTGATGGGCTTACTCTCAGATACCAATGAGTCGCCTGCGGTATACTCGGCAAATCGTCGGTCACCCTCGTAATCTTCCATATCAGTGCGGAACAACATGTTGGCAGATGCAGTGAGACGGTGAAGGTAGTCATTCCCGAGCCAAACCTCGCCCTCCAGATTTCCGAAGCCTTTTTTTTATGATTCCCAGTCGACATAAAAGTCAACAGAGCCATCCATGCGCCTCTGAAAGGTGGTCCAGCCTCCGCCGTCAGTTGTAATGTCACACAGAACTTGAAATGGTTCTTCTTCATCAGGGTAAACCCAGTACACAGCGTTGGTTTTGGAACCATTTTTATAATAGTCAAGACAGCTCTTAGGGCAGCCTACAATGGGAATCCATAAATATCAAATTGTCCACGGTACTCCAGTGGCTTTAAGATATCCATTAATTCGTAAAAACCTGCGTCCTATGCCTTATTTCTAAACTACTTAGTTGGGGGACTATGATTGAAGGAGAAAGCTAGCTGTAATAGAGTCTTCCAGATCTTTTACTTCCCATTTGAATTTTGTGACATTGGCATAAAATGTACTTCAGCTACACAAAAAGCTGCTGACTTTTTAAAGGGGATCTGAACCTACCTATGACACACTTGCAGAAATGAGTATCTGCCCTGTGGTCAGCTACACATATTTCATCGTCTTTGCAGGGATACTTATCCTCGCAGGTGCCCTTGTGATGAGAAAACAAAACATCCATTTTACAGTTTTTTTTCCCATATTTGATGCTCCTTAATGTCCCCGATGGAAACTCTTTATTGTGATTAATCAGATAAGGTAAATAAAAAAAATAACTCTTAAAGTTAGACATGACAATTTTCGAAAATTCAGTGAAGAGTCAGATATCAGCATTTTACGTAGACATCACTTCTGTTTAGATTTACTTTTTCGAAACGAAATCCTTTCTGTAGTTGAGACATTTTAAGCACACTTTTGGTGTTAATGCTAATTCACAGTTTAAGTCTTTTTCTCAGCGAGAGAATTTAAACAAGAAGTGTATGTTTTATCTTCCCTTGCTTAAGACCAGCGACGTTGAGAGCGTCAGCGCGAGCAAAATTGTCCAAAAGAATGCTGAGATCACATCATTTTCCGGTTTTTCCTCAATCAGCATTTCCATATCCGCCATTAAATCCAAGAACAGCCTAGTCAAAACCAATTAACGAATTCTCTAACTTCTGCTTTATTTAAGAGAATGTTTTCAATTTAAGCAGAAACAAACAATAAATCACGGAATTTGGGTTCCATCAAATTCTCTTCGTCTCAGCCCTAGAGTACGAATCCTTATTTAAAAAGAAAGTTGTATTCTGCCCAAATGGAGTTTACGCTTCTTTTTTTCTTGGACTCGCCTCACGACCTTGCAATGTGATGATAACAACCGTGAAAGTGTTCTTATGGTAACCCTCAATGAGCGCAATCAAAATATCACCATAACATTTCGTCCTAATTCATTGTGTACGTAAATTAATCTAATAACCTCTTAGGGAATTCTTATAAATAAACCGTAGGCCTGGTGTTGTCATTAGAATTCCCACGCAATCGTAATTCGGACGAATTAACGGTTTGGTGAGATTTACCTGATTAGAACTGGTCTCATGGCGACCTCAATAACACTGACTCAAATTATTACTAATGTTTTGTCCTTACGGTGAAAGTAAATTTGATTTGCAGCCCTCCTAAGAAACCTTGCTAAATAATTCATGCCTCTATCCCATTAGATTCGCCAAGTACGTATATCAATGAATTTAATTTACGTCTTGTGATTTGGTATAGTTTTCCTTTTTGATACTGTTTTCACACTCATAGCAGTGAAATCAGTGTAAGATCAGTTGTAGCCTGGGAACAGGCTTGTTGGTACATACCTCATAGGAGAACAGCATATCACTTATTAGATAGTTAGCAGCGCCAGTGGGCATAATAAAGCGAATCCTGTGTTCTCATTGGGTACCCGAACGAGCCAGATGGCCCCATCTTGCCCGCTCGGGATTGCCCGCTTTGATTCCACGCAAGAAAAAATTTTATGTTTAGCAGACTTAAGTAGTTCGTAGTTTTTGGACAATGCCGCGTTGGAGTGTAAAAAGCGGTAGAAGGAAGTCAAAACAGAGAAAGCATAAACAATTCTCAGGAGTTTATTCGGTGCTCTAATTACAGTTGGCTTTTTTTTCTTCGCTCTTATATTCTTGATTCGTGTTAAAGCGAAATATTTTCGCTACAAAGTAAAATCCTCTGTTGACCAAGCTTTTCCGGTCAAGATGGCTGGATAGTAGCCTCGTTCTTTTATTCGTAAACGCAAACCAAAAAATTTCGGCCAATATCTAGCCATCTTGACCTCACGCCTCGTCAAACACGTATTTTTTATTTCATGTATATTAACTCGTCTATGAGCACATTCTAACACTTAACTAATATTGTGTCCAGAAGTTACAACTGTCTACGTTGTCTATGGTAGATGCAGCTATCGACAGTGGTCGACACTGTCCACAGTGATGAGATACAGTTATCTGCATTATAGACAATGGACACAGAAGATACAGCCATCTTCGTTGTCCACTGCGAAGCCAGTCAATTGCTCTGTCTACAGTATATAGAACGATCCACAACATCTACTCTTTACGTTTAAATTTTTCTGGGTAATTTCTTTGTTAAAAACATGTTCTGTATTGTTTTCTTCAGACATAGCGAGCTAGTCAGCTGATTTCCACCTTTGGCCGAAATCACATGTGCTTCACATGATATTTTAAGCATCGCACACGTTCTGTTCGCTCTGAATCTCACATTCATCATGTGTTAAGCGGTCAATTGTCATGGTAAAAGCCACTTTTTTACCTGATTACCGTCAAAATCGCACAATAATAATTGTCTTAAATGGTTTAAATTTCCTTTTCCGATTAGTGCAAGGCAGGGCTCATAGGGTAGGGGCACATTTAATCTATGATAACAAACCTGCCTGTGGTAAAGAGGTCACTTGTGTGGTAACAAAATGTGCAACAATATATATGAAGAAATTGCAGCTTGTATGTCAACGAGCATGCGATAATTGCTAGCGAATGAACCACTTTAACGGCCTCAAGAAGGGAAGGGTCTGAATCTCCCAGAACTCTGAGCGCGCGCGTTCTTTCCCACGATGCACCGTGAGCAGGTACCGGCCGGTGTCGGACTTCTGACCTGCTTAGGTAGTTGTAGGATTCTCTCGTAGAGGAACTTTAATTCGTTATGGTTCAAGTTCAAAAGAATGTCTGCTTGATTGTTATCGACGGCTGGGGCATCTCTGAAAACAAAGAAGGTACCAGCTGTTTTCATGTCGGCAAAACATATCTTTTTGTGGACTTCATTTCAGCAATTTGTAGTGCGATCGATTGATAAATTCTGTATGTACTGTACATGTTTGGAACATATGTCTTCACTTTCATTGATCCGGCGATGTTGATACTGAGAAATGTTTATTTAAGAAATATGTTGCTTTTGTTCATGAACATAAACATGGTCTTGAAAAATTTATGTAATTTTTTAGTGTGCGAACTTGACAGAATTGTCACGTCACGCTCTGACTCTCATTAATCTATTTTTATGTCAATATTTGAATATCGCCATGTTTCTGATTTTTACATAACTTGCTAATGTTTAATGTGTGTAGTAAAACGTTTACAGACAATCAAATTCCCATAGATTGCGAACCGAAGCATTTTGTGCGCACAGTAGTTCTCCGAATCCAGACTCGTTGTTGCGTGACATCTCGAGTGTATTAGTAACGAATGTTTGGTAAGAATTCAGCGTTCAGTGTTTGAAAATGTCAAAATGTTTAGCAACATGAAAACTTTTGGCTTCCATTCTTAAACCTGAAGGGTTGAAGACTGGAGACCAAAAGTGTAACATTTCTGAAAATGTGAACCAGAGAATGATTTTTACATAGATTTATAGATTTAAACTTGGTTTTGCCATGATTTTTACATTTTTTAACCCTTTAACTCCCAAGATCTAAATGGTAATTCTCCTTTTAGTCTGTCATACAGTACTTGTGATGTTAGTTTGGAGAATTTGAGATTGGATCAACTTATAATCCCCTAATTGATGTTTTTCTTTATTCTCATCACTTATCTGCTTGATATTGTATTTACATTGTAGGGAGAAATTCTGTTTTGGTCACTCATGGACATTAAAGGGTTAAAATTAATAATACATGTTTGAAAATTTATACCCCAGTCATATCTAAGCCTTTGGGTGCTGTATCTTATCAATATCCTACACTCAAATTTGATGTTGTTTGTAGGTTCTATTTTTTCAGAGATAAATAACTGTACTCAATAAACAACCAAGTGGAAAAAGGAAATAAATCAGTGATGCTAAAACTTAAATAATGTCAGAGTGTGAAGCAATCTCATTCACTTACCTGCCTTCATACAGGAAATGCCATTGCTAATGCTACGGTACCAGTCATGGATGCATTTTGCACTGGACAAAACAATGCTTACACCACCCTAGATGCTTCTGGTTTGTCAGTTGGCTTACCTGCAGGACTTATGGGTAACAGTGAAGTAGGACATCTGAATATTGGAGCTGGAAGAGTTTTGTACCAGGTGTGAAATATAGGAAACTATGCCATCATATCTTGATTATTCGTATAATCAAAGCTATAATAAGATTCTCAAACATGATTGGTTATGACCAGTCAGATTTGAGTGCTAATTGGACAGCATATGCATCATGCTTGTAATTAGACAGTGCAAGTGTCATGGCTATCTAATTGGATCGTAGGCATCATGTGTGTGTGCACTGCTGTTATGATGCATTTTGCAGAATTAATTGTATCTTACAGAGGTGCAATGAATGGTTAGTTTGTTTCTCAAATTTTGTCACAGTTTTGATGAATTGGCAATAGGACTTTGTGTTGCCCAATATTGTCTGTAATTGGACTCCTGCTTGGTGGTCGTCCCATTTTGTTAATCACTCAGATTACACACCAAATTGGATTCTACCGAGTCCCATTACCACTACCAGTGATTCTTTATAATCAGTAGCAGAGTTTAGGGAAGGAGGGGGAATGGGGTGAGAGATTTGTGATCCCTAAAAAAATAGACCCATGTTGCCATGTGTTTATTCAATGTTATAACACATTAGACTTACTATAGAAATTCTGATTGGTTGAGAGCATGCAGTCAATAGTATGTGATGTTGACATGATAACCCAATATCTGTAACAGATATTGGGTTATCATGTGAAGTTCAAAGTTTGGCTAGTTTCCAAGCCCTTCATCCATGCACATGTATTATTCTCAAAATTTTTTGGAACTCAGAGAGAAGTGTCTGACTTCTGCAGATTGTTTAGCAAATTTACAATAGAAAAAATATTTGATTCACCAAGTTTTTATCAAACCTCACGTCTGCGTTATCTACCTCAGCCTTCTCCTTTGGTAGATAACTCAGATCTTGGCACTGATATTTCATGATATCATGCTCAACCTCAGCCAGTAATTGCTTAATCAATCACAAATGATGCCAAATGGGGTTACAACAAAAAAGAGGCACACAAGGCACAGCTGAGAGTGTCACTGATGTTCTTATCACACTTTGGTGTCTTGTGTGATCAACTTATGTACAAAGTCATGCCGCCCTGGAATCTCTTTGTCTTTTTGATAAAGAAGCATAAAATTATTTTGGAGATGTCATCTATATGTCTGTCTTCCAATGGATCAAAATTAAGAGCCAATCAAAATACAAAAATAACTCTGAGCTCATTATAATTATAATAATCAGGTATCAAAAGGCAACAATGATGCATGAAAGTTAAATATCTGATTCAGGTTATTCTCCTAGGCAATGACAAGACACTGTTTTAGGACCCTTAATTGTTAAAAAAACTGCCAAATGAATTTGATTCAGATTTATGAGCTGCAAAAAAATTGGATCATGAAATAACACTCAATCAAACTACCCACAGCCAGTTAAGGTTTTGAAGCACAGTGATTTGGATGGAGATTCAAAGTGTTCTGTAGACACATCCTTTAATAATCTGTCTAAAAACATCATTGTAGAAAGGAGATGGTCCTTGTTAATAAGTCCATGGAGATTGGGTATGTTTAAGCCAGTGACATAGTAAGGGTCCATATCAATCTGTACACTTATAAAATTTGTTTATTACAATTGTAATTAAAATTATGGCTACTCTTAATCACTCATGCCTTACATTATTACTTGTCCTTTTTTTCTGGTAGGATATTGTTAGAATTAACATGACCTCTGACAATAAGGAGTTTTCAAAAAACAAAGTTTTTGCTGAAGCAGCAGAAAAAGCTAAGGCTTCTAATGGAAGGTTTCATTTATTGGGTTTGGTGAGTAACCATGTCTTAGTAAGATCATTTTCATATGTCTGAACTATACACTAATAATCAACAATTAACTCTTTAACTCCCAAGATCTTAATAGTAATTCTCCTTACTGTCTGCCATATAGTTGCTGCAATGTTAGTTTGGAGAATTTGATATTGGATCAACATATAATCCCCTAATTAATATTTTCCTTTACTCTCATAACTTTTCTGCTTGATATTGTTTCGATATTGTAAAGAGAAATTCTGTCTTGATCACTCATGGGAGTTAAAGGGTTAAGTTGTTAATCAAGGGAAGTAATCTTGATCTAGATCTCACAGGACAAATATTTAATTTGACTAAAGAGGTCATTCATTTTTCAAGAGAGTGAGAGAAGGAAAAGATGTGAGCCCTGCTAAAGGAAACAAAACCTGGGCCTTTGGATTTTGCCGTCAGATGCTCTACCAGTGCAAATTCATTGTTGAGTGGGGCCATACTTACATGTAAGGTTCAGAGATGACAATGCCCTTTATACTGCTAAGATCAACCAAATTGAAAGTAGTCGATCATCAAACATCTGAACATCAATTACACTGTACACAGATTTTTGATTATTTGGACTCACTTCTCTGGTCCCATTTTTTTTATGAATTCAATATGAATTAATTAGTCAGATCTGAGATCCTTAACAGCTTTTTACCATCAAACAAAGCAGTGTACTGAATCAGTGTTGATTCTACTCCATTAAATTAATACAACTTCAGAGAATGCTAGAATTAGCAATGTACATGCACTGTTAGTAGCAGCTTGAAACAAACTGATTTAGGTCAGCATTTTAGGTTGTAAAATGTTGGTCGTCATAAATTAAAGGTTTTTTGTAGGTACTTTGGGAAATTTTTGTAGGATGCACAATGATGTGAAAATGTCCTTTAATTCTTGGATAATATTGATTAAATAATATTGGTTTTATTTTAGGCTCAGTAAGGAGGTATTGTGTTTATTATCCTTCTAATATTTTGCCATGCACATGAAAAATGTTTACAAACAACTTACCGTAAGCAGGGGAAGTGTTCTTTGGAGTGTTCTCTGCAGGTACAAACTTTATGAAAAAAACAATATCTTCCTTCTTCTGCAACAACCACAAACACTCCCTTATCTAATTAAATAATTTGAAGGCTTACATTGTATCATGATGGATTCAAGGTTTGAACATTGGGGAATTTCATTTGGCTGATATTCTTGGATATCACCTAGTTTTAGCTGGGGGATATTCAGGCACGTGTTGCATTTAGACCAGTTGCATAATTGAGCAAAAAGATTTGATGGATCATAATTTCAATTATCCAGACTGTTCAGCCCAGTCTGCACAAACCCAGAAGATAGAAGTGGGACTGTACTTGCACACTTGATGTGAAAGTATACATTATGGACAATTTTTTTTTCTACAGGTCAGTGATGGTGGTGTCCACGCCCACATCAATCATTTAGAGTCAATGATTGATGCAGCTAAGGAGCTTGGTGTTCCCAAGTGTTATGTACAGTTTTTTGCTGATGGAAGAGACACATCTCCAACCAGTGGAGGTATAAAATATATTGAAGGAAGCTACTTCACCACCACGCTATCCAATAGTAATTAATTGTAATAATAATGATAATAACTAGTGTCATAAATTAAGTGCCAATCAATTTGAGGCTTCAACATCCCCACCCCATCCCCCTCTCTCCTTTTCTGGGCAACCCATGGATGTTTTGACCATTATCTGTGCCTGGGGTGGGGAATTTGAACCTAAAGTGTCATGTCTTTTCAGAAGAATACAAGTGTATCTTTAAATATGGAGATGTTTAAAGGTAAAGAGTTCATTCAGGTCTGCAAGGTCTCGTTTTTGAAAGCCTGGTCAATGAGTAGAAAGTCAGAGTCACTGATTTTGCCTCTAAAATTAAAGAAGAAAACTGACCATTTAATCCAACACTTGGGTATGGGCATTCAAACACAATTTTGCTCCCAGCAGGGATAGGAATTAGAACAAACCAATCTTCAAATACTCAAATACTGGGTTGGGGGAGGAATGTTGAAGCTTTGAATTGATTATTAACAATTAGATCTCGGGAGTAAAACCCATCAATGAAAGAAGTAACAAAATCCCTGCTTTAACATTTTTTAAGTGACATATGTGGAACAAGTCTTGAAGAAGCTGAAGGACATCAATTATGGCTCACTAGCCACAGTTGTGGGCCGTTACTATGCAATGGACAGAGACAAGCGTTGGGAGAGAATCCAGATTGCTTATGAAGCTTTGGTGCAAGGAAAGGGTGAAGAAACTACCCCAGATAAAGTTATTGAGGTAAAGACAGACAGTTGACTGATTAGACTTTGCAAGGTGTATCACCGGCTCAAAGATCCTTTACTTAAGCATGCAATTCCTCCACCTGCTGTTTATAAATTGTCTTTGTTTATATTATGTTTGAGTTTGCTTTTTTTTTTTTTTTTTTTTTTTTTCATTTAAGGTTATCAAAGGTCGCTATGAAGCAGAAGGAGACAAGCGTGAAACAGATGAATTCCTGAAACCCATTATTGTGGACCCTGAAGGAAGAATAAGAGGTTTGTGTTGAGTGTTTAAAACTGATGAGAAAGCAACTGAGTATTAATAGACAGTACATATTTGATTTTTTTCACCATAAGATGCAAGAACACAGTTTGCTATAAATCACATGGTACAAACTTTTAATTAACAAATTGTATTTTTTTTATCTTCTAGTAAAAAGTATTGCTTTCCTCATTAAAGTATTACTGCAATATCTTTTACTAAAAAAGCTTAGTTACTTTTATCAGTTAAATGCTTATGATATCCATCATGAATTATTTTGGCTATTTATTTCTCTTCAGATGGAGATGTCCTTTGTTTTATTGACTTCCGTTCTGACAGGATGAGGCAAATCAATGAAGCTTTTGGAATAAAGCCACCTTTTGAAACAAATGTTATTCCTTCTAATCTTGTAAGTATAGTATCTTGTTATTTGAAGAAAGAGGAACAAAATAATATTTCAGTAAGTCAGGAGTAATGTAATGGTTAGATACTTAAAAAGGACAACTGTTATGGGACACTAGGATCCAAATTTGGACTCTAGCATGTCCAAAATCAGCTGACATTGTCCAAATTCGAATGCATGTGTTAAAAATTAGACATGAAATGTGTCTAAAATCTGAAAATACATGTAGTTTCTAAGATTGGGCAGTAGTGTCTGAAATCCAACACTTGTGTCCAAAATTGGATCCTAGTGTTAAAAGTAAGACACATGCCCAAAATGGGACATCAGTGTCCAAAATCAGGGTGTAAGTATTCAAAATTGGATGTTAGTTTGTAAAATTGGATGCTAGCATCTGAAATTGGGTACTGATGTTTTAAATTGGATACTAGTCTCTAATATTGGATTAATATCCAATAACTATTTCATTCAGTTGTCACTTTTCAAGTATCTAACCATTACATTGCTCCTGACCTACTGAAACATTTTTTCACTAGTGTCCAAAATTGGACACTAGTGCCAAAATCTTACCTCACCTATTGTCTAAAATAGGACATTTGTGTCTAGAATTGGACAATAATGTCTAGTATAGCCCTCTAGGGTCCAAAATCAAGCAATGGTGCCCAAAATCAAATACCTGTGTCCAAGGTTGGACCTCTTTTAATTGCATACTGCGGTATATAGAATTGGATGCCAGTTACTAAAATCACTTAGCAATTATTTCCAAAATTGGACGCTAGCATACAAAATTTGACATCGATGTCTAAAAATGGACACTAGAGTTGAGGGTGCATTTATGTTTTTACTGATCAAATTTTAATTTGTCTTTAATTTCAGCATCAAATTACCATGACACAATACAAAAAAGAATTTCCCTTCCCAGTCATGTTTCCTCCTTTTACTCCAAAGAATGTCTTAGCAGAATGGTTATCTGTTCACAATGTTCCTCAGTTTCACACTGCTGGTAGGTACTTGACAAAAATTAACCCTTTAATTCCCTTGAATAATCAAGACAGAATTTCTCTTTACAATGTCAATATAGTGCCTAGCAGACAAGTGATGAGATTAAAGAAAAATATCAGTTGGATTATTAGTCAATCAAATTCCAAATTCTCCAAACTAACATTATAAGAATTGTATGGCAGACCATAAGGGGAACTTTTCTTATTGCAAATGAGATCTAGGGATCAAAAGGGTTAAGATCACATCTCAGGTTTTTGTTATAAACCTGAAATTAATTTAATTTATAAAATGCTTGTCAGGTTGTGATCATTGCATTGACTGTAGTTGAAAAGAGTAACACAGCCAGGTATTTCCTGGTGCAATGGGCTGGGATCATTAGTTTTGATTTCCTTGGGTAGAAGACAGTTAAGTTTTAAACATAGTAATGTCTGTGCCTGTCCAGGAATAAATTAAGGCCATAGAAAGTGAGGGGTAGGGAATGATTTTTAATGGACCATACCTCCCTGTCATGGGTCAGTGCCAATAAGACAAGTAGCTTAGTAGATTATGGGCATGGTTGAGCATCAGTACCCAAAGTTTATGCCTGTCTTTGCAGTTGGGTTGTTCTTTCTTACATCCAGGCATTTCATTTACATAAAAAATATGCAAGGCAGTTCTTTTTTTTTCCTCTGATGGTTTTGTTGCATCCATAGAAACTGAGAAATATGCACATGTAACTTTCTTTTTCAATGGTGGCGTGGAGAAACAGTTTGAGGGAGAAACTAGATCAATGGTTCCTTCACCAAAAGTGGCCACATATGATTTGAAACCAGAGATGAATGCTGCTGGAGTTGGAGAAGAGGTAAAAATAAAGACCAAAAAAAGAATCTTTTTGATGTTGTTTCTTAGTTTGTAAATGTGAAAGTCTCTCTAGCAGCTTCTCTGTGGTATTTCAGGTGTTGCTCCCCCTTAAAGGAGTGGCACCATGTCCTGGATAAATTCAAAGTAGACAAGTCAACTGCATGACCTCGACAATGCCAGCTACTATGAGCAGTCCCTCCCTTTTGGCAAAAGTCCATGGCATGAGTTAAAAGAAAATCAGTGAAGAAGAAATGTTAGTGTGCTGTGTGGGACTCACGCAACAGACTTTGCCAAAAAGGAGGGACTGTTCACAGTCTAGGCTACCAAAAGTCAAAATAATTTATTTAATATGTAGTTTAGCAGGAAGGACCCAAGCTTCCATGCTGAATGTTTTTGATATTTCTATTAACAGGTGTGTAACGCTGTTAAAAGTGGCAAGTACCCATTTGTAATGTGCAACTTTGCTCCGCCTGACATGGTTGGTCACACTGGCAAATATGAGCCTGCAATCAAGGGTTGTGAGGCAACTGGTGAGTCAACAGTGTTGTACAATCAGTTACAACACTATGATGGTTATGCCTTTGAAATTTGCCGAGATGAAAAAGCAAGTGTTTTTTTTTTGGACACAGATAAAGCGATTGGTGAGATTGCCAAAGCATGTGAAGAGACAGGCTATGTGTTGATGATAACGGCAGATCACGGTAACGCAGAGCAGATGATGAGTGAGAAAGGTGGTCCTCATACTGCGCACACTACAAACAGAGGTTAGTTGTTCACTTTGTAAACTAGTGAACACTCAATGTGAAAGAAGCAATTTTAAGTCTTTATTCAGGGAAATGATTGGGTGATGATAACCTGTAAGTCTTTACTGTGCAGGAGGTGCTCATTGGAAAAAAATCTTCACAAAGTCTTGAGTACAGCTTGAGGCCTATTATATTTGATGATGATGTATTTAAGATTCCAGCCCACTGAGATGCTTTAGAGGAAAAGAATTAGACATATTACAGCAAAAAAAAGGGAGGGGGGTGAAAGGGGTGGTACTTGGGATGAATAGGCACTAACCTTCCCCCCTTTAGAAAAAGTTTCCAGTTTCTTAAGGCCGGTTAGAGGTGGATATGCTCACTTACAAAAGTCAGTCACTAGGTTGGTAATGATTTGCTCTTGGCTTTAATTTTCTTTCAGTTCCTTTTATTATGACTGGTGGACTTAAGTTTAAAGAAACTACCCACAATGCTGCTTTGTGTGATGTTGCTACCACTGTATTAGATGTGATGGGTCTCCCTATTCCAGCAGAGATGGGTGGACAGTCGCTACTGGCTAAATAGGGTGTGGCTTCCTTCAGTAATCATGGGTAGTCATCTGCTTTGCAACTTTATAGAAAACTTAAGATGTGGATTTCCTTAAAATAACTGTTAGTAATCACAGAAGTTTATATGTTTTAGTTTTTTTCTTGATAGACAAAAAGTGTGAGATGTGTTTTAAAATGATTAATGATAAGCACAGTGAAATATTCCTTCTTATAAAGGGCAACTGAATTCTTAACCCTTTAACTCCCAAGATCTCATAGGTAAGTCTCCTTACTGTCTGCCATACAGTTCTTGTGATGTTAGTCTGGAGAATTTAGTATTGTATCAACTTATAATCCCCTAATTGATATTTTTCTTTATTCTCATCACTTTCCTACTTGATATTGTATTAAAATTGTAAGGAGAAATTCTGTCTTGGTCACTGGGAGTTAAAGGGTTGAAAAAATAAAAAGGTAAGTGACAAGGCAATAAAACAATAAAGATGATCTTCAACTGGAATCATACTATAAGGGCTGGGGTTGCAGATATTTATTTTGAATTTTAGCCAATGAAGTCTTACTCCCAGCAAATCAACATGAAATTATATAGGAATGCTATAAAATTGCCTTTTATCGATAACTTAACTATATGTTATAACTTATTTTTCCCAATTAATTTTGCCAACTTAGTGGTAATCAACTGAATGAGTATAATTAAGGCCTGAGTATTATCAGATTAAAATGAGAATGAAATCTCTCTGGAAATCACTTTTCCTGATGTAAAAGGATACATAACCATTATTTGCCACCACAGACCTACTTCTAATTCTTAACACCACCTGCCTCACTGCAACTCTACATGCGGTTTTTTCAAAGGAAGGGGTTGGGTCCTCCTCAGAATACTTTGAAGGTGTTCCACCTAGTACTCTGCATTAGTGTCAAAGTCAATAATTGCAAAGAGTGGAACTATACATCTTTTTCGTTGACGCTGTGCCTTTCCATTTTTTATCAGAAGTTGAAAGGACCAAATAAATATGTTAAAACACTTTAGTGGGTTCCTCAATACCCAAAGAGACCATGATGAACAGATCTAGACCTGTTTTCAGACCCTCAAGCTGGAGAACCAACTATACCTTTGGGGCTGATAAATACTTAAATTGCCTATATAGGAAATTATGCGTTTCCTTCCCTCCTATACCACTTCAGAACTAAGGATAAGTGTTAACCTCCTTACTCAGCAATTGGGTGATAATAATATTACACTGTTTAGTCTACTACTGACAATAACTTGATTCAAAGTGGTTGACATATCTTTATAGTCCAGTTCACCACTTGTAGCGATCTGGAATGTTGTTCAGAAATTCTTCTTCTGCTGGCGTGTTCTCTCTTCCCAAAGATTTGTTCCTCTGGGGATACCTCCCAAACTTGTCAATAACTTCCTGTTATTAAAAAAATATATTACGTGTACATTGAGTGAACTATTGTGACTTATTTCAACTAATAATAAGTGTCCTGTTTGTTAAAGCACAACTTTATAAAACAACCATGTAGCACATATCAGTGTTTGATTTAAAGTGTATATTTAAAGAGTGATCTTTTTTTTCTGGCTCTGGGTTCATACAAAATCCTCTTCTTCCGGAGGAAAGCTTCAATCTATGTTTGTCTGATTAGCCTGTTCCAGGCCCCCAGTCAGGATATTTTAAGCAAAGAAGCAGATGAGCAACAAATGGTTCTTGTTTGTCAAAGTTTGTTTGTTACCCACTCTTTCACTTATGAGCTTAGCACAGGTTATTTTTCAATGCCTTAGCTAAGACACATTTGGGGATAAATACAATGGTTACACTGCACTTAAAATTGTATCATTTGGGACAAGTAATTGTTTATCACCTAGGAGGGAGTGGGAGGGTTTGCAGGAATTTGGGGAACTTGCATGGTTTTCAGGTAAAAGGTAGGGGGGGTAAATCATTGCTACAGAGTATAGAGATGGGTACTACAGAAAATTGACTGCCAGCAAGGGAGGGGGGGGGGGGTCACAAGAAGGAGGGAATCAGGCAACTTTGGTTGTGACACAACCAAAATCCCCAACCACCTCCTTCCTCCAGGCAATAACCAGTCCTTTAGATAAAGTGTTTAGGCTGCTTATGTCTTTAAGCAGTCCATTTCATCATAAATAACAGGCCCAGGGTCTTTCCAGAGAGTTGGGAAACTCTGAGTTGTTGAGTTAGATTGAATTGCTAATACAGCAGGTTCCTACAGCCCCTGATTAAGGGCAAGGCCAATAGACATGCATTACCTTGTGTCTTGTAGCAAATTCAATGTAACCTTTAGCCATTTCTTCATGCTGTGTACCTTTAAAGTCTTCAGCTAATTTAGACATTAAACTCACTGATAACTCCTGTTAATAAGAAATAAATGAAACCTGTGATTTAAGTCCTAAGTGGGTGTTTCAACAATTAAGCCTGCATGTCCCCAATGTAATTTTTAAGTTTATACTCTCAGGTCTCAAAAAAAAAAAAGAAAAAAAAAGAAAACCAACTGAACACTAAATATAGGCAAGCAAGATAAGTTTTACAAAACAGATTTAAAAGTGACTAAAGAAAACTAAGGCATGTTGAGAGTTCATGTTTTTCAGGCCATGACAGGACTTGTATTAATCAATAAGGATTGGAAATTGCTAGTTTATGCCTGATCATGGAGTGCTTGATCAGGCATTATAAAAAGGTGAAAATATGCTTCATAATCTGTATTGACATAGGATCTTGGACTAGGAAACCTGCAATAGACAGAGAACCCACTCACCTGATCTTCCTTGCTTTCACTGTGTTCAAATGGCAAATATATGAAGCCTCTCTCAGCAAAATGAAATTCCAAGTGGTTGTGAGTTTTACCATCAATAAACTGTAAATCAAAGTAATCAGATATGATGAATTCTGAGGTTAAATCTTTCCCATCAAACCACCCTGTTGATCTGAAGGTAATTGCAACCTCATAGTTTATATTTCATGTTTTTTGTTATTGAAAATTATTAACAGTCTCTCTCTCTCTCTCTTTCCTTGTCCTTTTCCTTTTCCAGCTGTCCACATTCTGAAACAGTCTGGCATTAATAAAGAAAAAAACCTTGGAAACAAATTAAAAGTTTACATTCAAAAGCCATATGCCATGACCTGATGTCAGTGCCATGTTTTAGATTCCTCACACACTCTCCAAATCACAGCAAATGAGGTTAACTAAGACTATGACATGAGCAGAATGACTCTCACCTTCCTGGCAATTTCTCTAGCTCGGGTGTCACCTGAAAAAGCCTTGGCACTATTCTGTTCAAAAGAACAGAAAAATATGTTATAGCTATTATTGTTTGTATCTTTGCCATGATCTCCTGAACAATTTTGGTATATGAAAAGTATGTTTTGAAAGCTCGATCAACGAGGGAAATATTTTAGGGTTTCCATCAAAGCCCCTTCACTGGATTAAATAGTTTACATCAAAAAGAGAATTGCAAAAATAATCAATCTATAGGTGCAGTAACTGGTAAGTCTCTTTCGGGATTCTTCTCCTAATCACTACCCTAATTAGCTCTTGAAAAAAAAACTTGGAAACACCTCAGACATGACAAGAACAACTATTATACATTAGACTTACAAATGAAAATTCTGATAGGTCAAGTGCATTGTCAGTCAATATACAACGGCATGTGAACTCCATAGATAAACCTGCAATATCTGCAACAGATATTGGGTTATCATGTCAAGTTCAGAGTGTGTCTAGTTTCCAAGCCCCTCATCCGTGTAGTCTTCTAAAACTTTTGCAAACTCAGAGAAAAGTGCCTTCTTTTGCAGATTGTTCAGAAGATGTATAATAAAACAGTTGTTGAATTTGGTTGTGTCTGTGTTACCTGCTACAGCCTTTGGCTTCTGCAGATAACTCAGTCCTTGGCATTCGTAACTCACGATATCATGCTCAACCTCATCCAATAATTGCTCATTACAACCCTAACGCCTAAAGTGCTGCTGTTAATTGAATTAAGTGGAATAGTTTGTTATTTAACCTACCCTGAAAATACTCCTAGTAAACTGGTCAGTGAGGATGATCAGTGCCAGTGATGGCTTGGGCTCAGTTTCCCACTCTTTCAGTTCTCCTTGCACAGCTTTTTCAACCTGTAACAAGACAACTACCATTACATGTCACTTTAAATAAAGTGATTGTCGAAACATGTATGCTCAGATCTCTCAGCTTTTCCAAGAGCCAAGGGCGTGGTTGTAAATGGGTAGGGGAGACTAAAGGGTGAGGGAGGAGAGAGACTGGAATATATTAGGACTGCCAAGAAAAATTAATGAGCCATAAAGAATAAAACAGCCTTTAACATGTCCCTTCAGAGCCCAGTTCTTTGAAAACCATGCTCTTCCCCCATCCATACAGGAATGTAACCAATTGCCACCTCTTGTTGTTTCTGATCATTGTTTTCACTTACCAAAGATGAAAATTTTTGTCTGATTTCTTCATCCACTTGAGCTCCACCGTGAAACCACTTTTTTTCAGCTCCAGGGCTGAACCAGTACTCAAGGACATTTTTCCAATGGTCTGAGTCATTACCAGAACATAAAGACCTAGTAATGACTCTCACAACTGTTCCACGTTTTGTCCTATCCGACGAAGAAAAATTTCATAAAGCAAGTTTAAATATCAGAGAAAATCTTTCGTGGTCCTGAACCTTCACTACAGAACAGCTGTATATTTAGTTCCTATGAGTGCCCTGATTGGTCAAAAACCCACCGTTTTATACACTGGTAGACCCATAGAATTTTATTTTTTTTGTTGTTTTAAGTTTATTTCATGAAAGCAATAGATATATCGATTATAGATTTACACCGGTTTACAAGCGTACCGGAGGCGAGTGATGTACAAACGTGCGAGTGTTCTCCTAACATCTGGAGTGGGTTACTTCGCTGCTAAACCGATATAAAGTGTGTTCTGTTATTCAATTAATCCACTACAAAGTAAAGATCATTGAGTTGCACGGATAACTTGAATGTGCAGACGCGCTTTTTGTGGGCACCACTCAGTCTTTCGAGATTTGCCAATTATTATCTCAATAATTAAACATGTGGTGCAAAGTGACAAAGCTGACACCTTCAGCAATAAGAAAAAGTTTGTTGAAAACTTACAACTCGGTTGGTGTACTTAATAGTACACCAACTTACCATGTTACCATAACTTACCATGTTTTAAGCCTCACTGGGCTAAAAGTCTTGGTAAACACTGCACTAGTGACAAAAATAGCGGCCATCTTTTTCGTCGCGAGTGTCACAAAATTGCGTGACAGTCAAGGAACCTATCGCGCTCGGCTAAAAATACAACCCGTTGATAATCCGTTAAGCTTGTCGCAGAAGAGCTCGTAACAGCTTAGTAATTCGAGGTGGAAGAGAGTTTTGAGAATAACTGAAGATCTCCAAGACACGGTAAGTTCCTGAAAAATTCTATGAAAATACGATGGTGAATTTGCCATCGTTAAAAATCGAAAACGGAATGCTTTAGTTACCTGCGCCCAACAGCTGGTTCTTTCATGCACACTCAGACAGCGTTTGTCTTTGTCTTCTGACATATCATAGAAAGCCTCGTTTATGTTAAATGTTTTGAAACCATGAACTGTTCAACTTCTTCCTGGGCTTTCTTTAAATTTGTGGAAGCTCATACAAACCACACGAATGGTCAACTTTTCCTGGTTTTACAAGATGTCGTTTCGATCAGGTGTAAATGCAAATTCGTGTACTTCAATCCTGATGGAAAAAAAAATGAGAGCCTCGCTCAGTTATATGTCTTCTGTTTAGCATAATCGGTTCTCATTCTGAGCACTTTTTTCTCTCAAAAGAAAAACGATTTGAATCACATAAAAAATAATTCGCAAATGATTTGGCTTGCATTACTCCGCGACATATAAAATATTCATTTCCTTTCTTTAGACAGAGCACCCAATTCCTGAAACTTCCGTAAACAACATTCGTATAGCGTATAGCTATGATTTTTTTGTCCTTTGCTTTTTATTTTGATTTTCTATCCTTTTAAGCTACAAATGATGTTTCGTTTCATATGGCGAGCTTGGTTCGACTGAGATTTACATATACATGAGGCGAAAATTTGTTTTTCGTGATGTTTAGTCGATTAAAATTCAGTCTGCGCGTTATGTCACGCAGGGTGTTTTGGTGGCACGGGTGGTCACGCTTTTAACGCAAAGGTTTGTGTTCCTGTTTGTTTTCCTCGTCAGCAAAAAGACCATGTTTAACAGTCAATATAAGGAAGCTAATGATGTGTTGAATTACTGGTTCGGAGGAGGGGACCGTTCCAAGCGACCAAAATGGTTCGGAGGCGGAGAAGAAGCTGCTAAGGAAGTAAAAGACAAGTTCGGACCGCTGGTAAGTTGAAAATGTCGTTTCATCAAACATCAAGTAGTCTACTTTAATCGATGCACAGGGTGCTTACCATTAAGCCAAAAAGTCTTTAAATTTCAGTTTTATGGCAAGTGACAATGTAATTTTTCCAGAAATCTCGTTGGGAAATTGTAGAATACCTACAGATGTATTTTAGTCCTCCGTTTCCAGGCTAGAGAGGGACGAAACGGCTGATAGATTATTAATGGTGCGCGCAATCTTATCCGCTGGGTCAAATTGGGAAAAACCATAACAAGGAAAACGCGCCAGAGAGGTCAAGTCACGATTGGTTTTATTTTCACTTTTGCTGACTGATTGAGACTGAGGGTAGCAGAGTTAACAAGACCACAGACGAAGTTTAATCAGGGTAAACAGGAATAAACCTCGTCCTGTTATTCTCTTTAGGTAGTGAAGTGATGCACAATTGACTCATATAAAATACTATCTTATCGCTTGTAAACAGAATAATTGAGAGATGGTAAGTTTTGAGCTCGGTAACTGATATAAATATAGGTGTTTTTCGTCTTTCTCTATTTCTTTGCCGAGCTCAAAACTCACCATCTCTCTTAATTATTCTGTTTACAAACATGATGCTATCAACATTTCTGATCCTAGCAACATGTAGGACGCGTGTCACGGGGAGCGCGGAATCCGAAGATCTGAGGTTCGGCTCCTCGTGGCAACTCAGAATTTTTCTTTGTCCCATGCTCGTGAAAAGACAGAAAACATCTTTCTCTACCCTATCTTTTTTTTCAATCTCACAATAATGATGATGAGAAAAGTCTCTCTTCTCTTACAAGTGATTCACGTGAATGTGTTTAAAGCGAGAAAAGGAGACACTTTTTCTTTGAACCTTTTCTCTCTCAGGTGGAGAAAGCCAGAAATGACGAGTTGAAGCACTGGGAAAATGATCCTAAAGCCACATTAGCGTTGATCATATTACAGGACCAGTTCCTACGAAGTCTTTTCAAGGTTTGTATAACTACACGCTTATATCCGATTGACCGACGGACCAAAAGATGGCACGTCAGACCGACCAGTCGGCCGACCTATTCAACCGAGCGATCGACCTATCGAACGACCGAAAAAGGAATGAAACACGGATAAACCAACCAGCCAAAAAACAGATCAGGCGAAGGACTTTGTCGCGTAATTTTGTACAATTTCGTTACGAAATAAGAAAACATGCTATTGAGATTGACATTTTGAAGGCGCGTCGGCCTTCGACATTTTTTTGTAAGGCGTGTCGCTTAGATGTGATTTTTCATTAAGCATTACGACAAAAATAGATATATATTACACTAGAGAAGAAGTTAATCGAGACAAAAAGTAAAAGCGAAGTGGTCTTCAGTCAGAATAATTATGTAAACGAGAGAGCGTTTGTCAGTTGTTCTAATTGAATCAGTTTACGACAGACTTATTGGCTGAACATTACAGTCACAGCCGAGAAATCGAGTTATCTTGTAAATTTGACACTTTGGTATTGTCAACCGAGTTAATCATGTAAATTGACCATTGTAAAGAGTTTCTAAGCTAACCTTTTTTTAAGCGTTAGCCCTTCGTCAAAGCGAATAACGAAGGGCTAAGTTTCGAAACATCAGCTTAGAAACTCTTTACGGCGGCCAATTTACAATATCAACTCAGTTGAAAATACCAAATATCTTGTTATACTACCCCACCAACGCAGGACCACAGTAACCGAAAGGCTTTAGAAATTTACCCCTTTATTCACTTATCGAGTGGGTGAACCCGATTTTACTAGAAAAAAAAGAAGGGTGGGGGAAGGAGGTCGAAAGTCGAGGACAATCTCTCGGATGTTAAATTTGAAAGTGCGCCTCTAAGTCGAAGATTAGTAGCTCAGCTGAAAGCTGATGGATGACGCTTACTTTAGAAAATTTCGGGCAAATTAATGTCCATGCATATCATGGAATACCCATCTTAAGATAGAAGGTATTTTTTCCAAATTGTTTCGTTCGGTTATTTCAGGGCAGTCCCACGGCTTTCTCAAGAGATACATATTGTGAAGAACTGGCCAAAAAGGTAAATAAAGTTTCCTCTTCTTCTTGCCAGTATATTACCAGCATTTTTACCTCTTTTTAACATTTATTTCTCACCTTTTCATTTCTTGGTGTTAAAAGTTTATACAACGCGAGACACACGATCATCTAAAGTTCAGCGCCGCTGCGAGAGTTTTCATTTATCTTCCACTGGAACACAGCGAGAACAGAGAGACTCAGGTGAGTCAGCGGCAATAAGATTTCTGGCCGTGCGTATTAAAATATACAAGGAAATATTTGTCATTCTCGTCCAGTCACAGTGCCATAATTTGCTTTTCGCCTGTTCCTGCAAGTGCCGTAAACCACGTTTCGGGAATGCATGAACACTTCTAGACCGAGGAGTTGGGCCAACGGCGACTACTGTGACCACAATATTCCAAGTTTAAGTTACGAGTTGTTTGAAATGTTAAAGTGGAGACTTCAAGTCAAATTGACTTCTGCGCGCGCACAAGCATAATCTCGCTTCATTTTGACCCAACCGTTTACTTTTTCGTTGTAGGAAATGAACGTGCAGCTGTTCGCTCAGTTAGAGAAGGACTGCAAAGGGGGCGAAGACGAGTCAAGTGGAAACGTTTGGTACAAGTTTGCTTGTCTTCACAAGGTGAGAATACTGGTTGGTTTACCGGTGGGAGTTGACAATTATTTTACGCGACGTGGGAAGCAAAGATTGCAGACCGATTTTCGACAAAATGCAACCGACAGGAACGCAGAATATTAAATAAAGATGACAAATTTTAAAAAGAAATTGACGAAAGAGAGAAGGAGAGAGAGGGCTAACTTGCCAAGTGATGGTTTGAATTTGCGTGCAATGCGCACCATCTGCGCCAGTGATCATATTTTGAAAACGCTCCAAATCCGCGAAAGCCGAACCAAAGCCAAATTGTATTCCCTGACCGCATGGAAGCCTTCAATAAAGCGGGCAAAGAGCTCAGAACAAAATCCCAGCACTACAATGAATCCATTCCTTCTTTCTTTTGTATTCAGGAGGTAGTTGATCAGTTTGGGCGTTTTCCACAGCGCAACAAAGTTCTTGGCAGAGAGAATACTCCAGAAGAGGACGAATGGCTGAATAATCTTCCCGACCGTTTTAAATGGTGAAGACGACAGACAGCAGAGTGATAACAAACCAGCAAGCTTGATGATATCTAAGATATACACCCTGTAGATAAAATGCGTCGATTAGATCACAGCTTTAGTCCGGATCCCACCTTCACGTCTTGGAAGGAGCCTTGATTCTCCATTTCTTATCAGCCTTTTAATCCGACTAATAGAGTTTGTTCTCGACATTTTTGTTTTTAAATCAAAAAAAATTCTTTGACTTAAATCTAGAAGTCGATTTACATTTGTAATCAAAACCTGTAAGAGCACGACCAAAATTCAAACTTTGAACATTAAATGACGTCGCACACTACCCTAGCTGTGTTTTGCAGAAAGCTTCCATTTCCTAGGGCTGCTTAAAGTTCAGTAAACGTTCGAGAAAATTTTAATTTATTATCTTGCTTTTAAATAATTGTTCCGCGAGCGCGCGTTAGATATGAGATGATACTCAGATAGCCGTAGGGCCGATTTGGCTTAAATCATTTCATATCCAACAAACTCAACAAGCGCGGGTGGAATCATTGTCTTACAGTTACACAGTAGGATCTGAGTGCGAGATTACTCGCTGGGTTCATGGGGCAAAAATGTTAATTGAGCACTTTGTCACCCACTTCAGTCCCTATTTTGAGCTACACAAAGTTGTTGTCGTCTTTATTTAAAGAAAAAAAATCGTAGCTGATCAAAAACAACTACATGCAAAAGCACAAAATTCGACAAATATAGTCTGGGACAAAATATATCGAATTTAAGACTCTTAACCCGCCATTCTTCCATTTCAATGATGGGATTCTATCGCGTCAGCGGCTTTTATAAGGCTTCGTTTATGATTTTAGAAAGAGGCTTTTTTATGTCACCTTTATTTTTGTCCAAGATTATTGGCATACTCTTCATATATAGAGAGAGGATGTCATGAATTTCCAGAATAAGAATAGAATTGGCTTCTTGTGGTAGCAAACTTTTATCTTAACACCGATAGTAATTCTTCACGCTATATCAAATCACCTCAAGTATTGTCACATATTGTGATTGTTGTATTTATTCTTGATATACGCCAAATACTAAGACCACAGCAAACAGAGAGTTGTTAATAAAGCTACATTCTGCAAAGTTGTCGGCTTTCTCGTCCCAACAGCACAAACTTCCGATCCGAATCGATTGGCCCATCTTCGGACCGATGTGCGTCACACACACGATCTTGTATCGATCGAAGCCGAGCAGTTTGACTTGAGATTTTACTTCTTCCGAGATTTGCAGTGTTAAATCTCGACACAAATTCGGATCGTAGCTCACATTTGCGAGTCTATTGGCCAACACTTCTTCTGCAATTCTCTTAGCAGCAACTGTGAAGGAATCGTAGAGGTGGATAAATAAAACTGAGATATGCAACTTTACAGTTTAAGACCAACAAGAAATAAAAACGTACTGTATGTGACAGGAAGAGATCATCATAAAGTGAGCTCAATTTCAATTTTCTGATGATTAAAACTAATCTGTTATCAGCTGTTTCAATTGCACTTATTTTCATAAGTATTTCATTTATATAACACCATTATATTTATTCATATCAAGATGCATTTTGGGATTTTGAACATGGCATTAATTTTTTGTCTCAAGAGGGTGACGAGTAAAGAACTTATATTTAGATTTTATTTGAGACCTTTCCGCTGTTTACAATGCTAAAAATATACCATCTCCATACGCTCTTTAAAGTAACATCGTGAGAAGAGATAAGGAGAGTTTTCTCTATTGGATTAAATTTACTACTGCCGAGACAACGTTGACAAAAATTATTAATCACAACTTTCTTTCCCAATTTTAATTTATACTTTTATCTGACTTTTCCATGTTTTTTTTCATGGATTTTAAAGTCTATTTCACATTTTCGTCTTTCGCAGAATATTTTTGCTTAAAGAATCCATCCCGAGAGTGCCCTGTATTTTTAAAATCCACAAAAATCATCAGGGTTATATTGTTTTTTTATTTTTTTAGGCAAAGTGGGGCCACGTGATCTCTTCCCATTGTCAGTCAACGTGGTTGTTCCTTCTTACAGGAGAGAGGAACGGGAAGATGTGTTATAATGAGGAAGTTGTGCACAAGACCAATATCACTTCCCTGGCATCACGCCACAGAAAGTTTACATAAATAATCTTAATAAACAAGACAAAATAAGATTGCATCAACACGCTTATACTTAAATTAAACAAGACTAGACCATAAATGATAACGTTTACCGGGAGAGAATTTCTTCGCCGGGTCGGGTCCCACACGATATGTGTTCTCCAAATTAACAATTTCCCCTTGGCTGTTTTGTTTGAGCTCTGCTTCTTCTGAAAACTCTTCGTCCCGAATTGTACTGCCACTTCTCAGTCTAAGACTGTCATATCCTGACTGCTGATTTAAGGGAGCTTGGGGTGGTTTCTTGACGAAAAAGCTTCGGGTCGAAGTAAGTCCAAGGCTAGCTTTTCTAGATTTTGTTTTGCTCGGTTGACCCTGGAGCGCGTCCGCCATGTTTGAAGCTTCCAGTGCAGTCATGTTAATTCGTTACTAACGTAAGGCAGTCGATGCCAAAATTTCTTTCGCAATCTTTCTTACTCGCCGGACGTAAAAATGATAGAAAAATCAATGATAACAAAAGCGAACTGAAAGCTAAGTTTTGCTTGCATAGGCTTTTTCTCGAAGACTAAATGATGCGTAAACTCGCGTACCCTTTGTTTGCATTAAGAAAACATGCCGTCAGAAGTGATGATTAATGTTCCATAATTGTCCCCTGGGAAATTAACTTCCGAAAGTCGGCATCTAGTAAAGACCCGGAAAAATTGCGGTAATTATAACTTCTTAATTTTTTCGCCGCAAGCCATTGGGCTGAGCAATTATTAAACTAGTAAATTCTAAATGGACTGAATAACACCGTGAAAAATAATTAGATTAACCGTCAAGAAACAAAAGTAGGCAAAATTTAAAGAACAATAGGATGTCTTCTGCCTTGAATAAGTTGTCGGCTCTGAAAAGAATCATTAGATATGAGAAAGCCGCGTTCTTCGAGGCTTTCCCCCAAAACTTGTGCTAATAAAGTTTGAGAAGTCACCAAAGCAAATTAAAAGGTACAATCTTGTTCTGATGATCAAACCTGTGAAGATGCGAATATCACTAAAACGGTTACCTGCGTTGGGGGTTTGGGTGAGGAGAGGCGGTATGGACATGACAAAGGACAGTAAGAGACAATGATACAACACCTAAGGTCAATAAGCATTGATTTTATCATTGTTACAGTTATCTTTTTATAACAGCATTTCCGATTTATTTCAAACCATATATCAGTATCGTGTGCTCAGTGACAAAATTGACCATCAGATAACAAGTAATCTTAACAATCTTTAGTGAGAATCTTGACGTTTTGCTTGAAAAAAAAAAAAAATACTAACCTCAACTCAAAGGAAGAGACCTAAAAAAGCACAAAACAGTTTGATTCACCATCATCTGACAAGATCAAAATATGGTAACCGATAAATTCACCCCATTACAGGTTCGCCTCCAATCAACCTTTTAATGTAGGGGGTGAGCTTGTCTTACGTTAGGGGGCGAACTTGCAATGAGGAGAATTAATCATTAACCACAAAATACCCATCTTCATCACAGTTTTGAATATGGAGTTTGAGTCAAGCACTTATGTCAAATTATGTCACTGCGCATAAGAAACTTATTATAGGTATGATTTTCAGATTGACTGTCTGCAGAATAGATCCAGCCTTCCTTTAAATCTATACAGCAGTAACAAAAAAATCTCCTTTCTTTTCTCTCCATTCACTACATTTATTATTATACGGCGAATATTATGATGTGCTGAAAGAAATGCTGCACAAGAATATCCTTGGCGTCTGATTGGTTGAGAGGGTAACGCCAGTTCTTTAGACCAATCACAGAGCGAAGTAAAGCAAGGCCAAAGCGGTCAGGATTACTCTACGTTCTCCAACTAACCAACAGTGGTCTCCCTGAGTTTCAAGCTAAAATAGATATTACAGAAAGAATTTTTCTTACGTGTACGATCCTACCGTTAAGAGCCTTTTTTGGTCACAATTTCGTATCATAGTTGTTATTATCAAATATGATAGCTATACAATTATTCTTACGGATTAAATAGTTCAAAACATTTTTCTGTTGCTATAAGTGCCAACGACAGAGAATTTCTTAAATGTATAAACCCGCGTTTTTACAATACAATAATAATGTGAATAAACAGATCAGTTGAGAAATACTTATCGTCATTTTCGTCCACTCCCAAATGCACCCAAATTTAGAGTTGCCGCGAGAACTTTGTTAAAAAGAAAAAAGCTTTACATCAATGGCAATGAGATAGTTACGGAAAAAAAGGTCCAAAGTCTTTTGATTTTTTTTATCAAATTTTGATTAGTTTTCCAATTGCAAAGATGGCTTTCATGAAGATGATGCTATAATATATTCGGTCGTGCAAGTTTCACCGGCATCGTGGAACCAGATAATGCTGTTAAATATCCTGCATTGCCACCCTTAACGAGGCAGCACGGCAATGTAACTGTCTTGATTCTACAGGAATTTTAAAAGTTGTCCACGTTCATCTTTAGAATTGCCATGATTGAATTCAGCTTCTTCACATTTTTTTAAGGGGAAGATTTCAAATACCAAACCAAAACATCACATTTTTTGTCTGGATTCGTAGTTGAAATCTCTTCTAAAAAATATCATTTATCATTATCAGTTTCTTTTTTAATACAATAATATCATCGATTATATGTTGAGATATGAATAGTTATAGCAATTTCCCATAAATTGAATCATACTGAATATTATGTCAGTCGTTAATTTTTCCAAAACTAACAAAGTCCCTGTATATGTGCTTGTCACTTATTGTGGTACTTGTATTTGGTAAATAGCACCATTGCCAGAAGATCCAAATATTCGACCAATGTCAGGAGACTGGCGCCGAGAAAGAGACCAATTTGACCTCCCACGTCACCTGAAAAATGATGTTAACTCGTATGTTAAGATTGAGGACGACTTCCGGCCTTAGTATTCTCAGTGACCAAGGAAACACTGTGAGTTGACCCTATTGTTAAAGTGCTGGACTCTGGGTCGAGAGGTCTGGGTTAGAACCATGACCAGGTAATTTGTTTTCGGGTAACACTTACAAGGCCCTTCTCCAGTCTGGAGTATACCTGGGTTCAAGTAGCCAGTCAGAGAAACCTGATACAAGCATCTCATTGTAAAGATTATATCGGAAGTGGTGCATTGTAAGTAATGTGTCGTAAGAGAGTTTGTGTATTTCAAGTAATGTATGGTGCCGTAAGTAATGATAAAAAAAAGTGAAAAATGACAGTAATCAAAAAAATGATACCCACCTAACAAATTGTACAGATCGTAACTGGGAACCTGTTTCACATCAGAGTAAGTTAGAGATTCGAAATAAATCCTCAACTCCAAAAGGTTATCTCTGAAATATAAGTAAAAAAATTCAAAACATAAGAAGTAACTTATACGCGAACCAGAGATAGAGACTTTCATTCTTCAATCGACGACTTAATTATTGAAATATTGACCTTTTAAACCCACTTGTTACTTTCATTTTATCCCTTTGCCCTTGTTAAGTTAACTTATTCGCTCCCCCCCCCCCCCCAAGGAAAATGCTGTTTCGTGATTCCATTGATTGATTCATTGATTCCAACATTGAATGGGGGAGGGGGGAGACGGGGGTCTTCTCAATGATTTAGAGTGTGGTAGACACAGGAGTGTTCTAGTATACATATAAAGGACTCTTCAAGTATGATGTGTCCACTAATTTTGACGCTGATTGTAGCTATAGCTAAATAGCTATCAGTGGTACATAGGTTATCAAGAATGATTCAAACATCTAAAATGTAGACGTTTTTATTCAAAAACGTATATAGTATGAGGACTCAATAAAGTGACGCCTTTCGATGTCACACTACCTGAGGAATCGCCTGTTTTCTTCGGGTGTTCCCGTCAAATTTTTCCGCTTGGACAGAAGCAAATCAGCATAAGCATTGGCTGGATAGCGAGAGTACGACAACTGAGCTGAAAACTCCACGCTCTCACATGCCACAGGACACCTATCCAACTTCTTGTCTTCGAAATGCACTGAAAGTTTTCATACAGAAAGAAATTGCACAAAGGAACCTATTTCTTAAGAATCTGAAAAGGTAAGATTTCCATTTAGATCATGTTTCATGATAAATTGCAACGGCTATGAAGCCTGACTGATTCCTTTGTTTTGATGTTTGTTTAGGCTTTGGAATTGGCATGAACAATTTTTTGATAATCCGCGGAACAGGCCTTTATAATTAACGCTGCAGGAAGCACGTTTCTCCTTCCGCAGAGATAGCTGGGACTAGTCGAGAAGAGACCGAGCTCTGACACTCATTATCATCACCAGACCCCTTACAGACCTCACCTCAGCTCACTTAGTCACAACGCGTTCAAGAACACATGCGAAAAACCAAACCGCCAGAAACAAAAGGTTCTACACTGTCGGTTTGCTTAACAACAAACTTTCACCTATGATTTTAATATCTATGACAATAATTCTTCTCTACTAACTATGATTTAAGCCTTTGTTACATGAAAACCTGGTGCAGTCTAAAGTTTGAAGCATAATCTTTTCTTACAGACAACATTTCGAACTAAAATCTAACGTTCTTGTCTAAATCATAAATTTTTTTCCTACTCCCAGAGTCAAGAATCATCTTTGACTTGACAGCAATGGCTCTATTACACAAACGTATCTTACCCCAAGCCGGCCACATGCACTTTTCGCTCGTAACGAGATCGCAGACAGGAATTCCTTCATCAGCTCCTGCAGAAACATTATTGGTGAGGTCATGAGCGGAACACTCACTCACTCACTCACTCGCAGGAAAATTGATAATAATAATAATAATAATAATAATAATAATAATAATAATAACAGGATGGTGGAAAACATAAAGAAAGTATTAGAAGCGGCTACTGTGACAGAGATTCAAAAGATCTGCGTGCTGGGATCTGCGCAAATCCTCAGAAAGGTGCTCAGTGTATGAACAGAATGATTGACTCGAGTGGCTGATGCCCTAGGTGCATGGTTTGCGCCTGACTGATACACAAAGAGAACACCAGCAAAGACTACGATAATTATAATAATAACAATAATAATGATAATAGTGGCAATAAAAAATAATTGTAAGGACTGAGAGGAGTTCAACCTATGGGAAGTGTATTTTTTATCACAATTGGCATTAATACCGCTATCTGATTGGCCAGTTTGCCGTTGTCGATAAGAGTACAGACAACGCTGCATGCGTCAACGTGTAACGGAAGAGTCAAGCAATGGTCACGCAATGGTCACGCACTGAAAGGATCGATTTACTTGTTTCATTTGTTGCGGACTCACTTAGCCTCGCCTCGTGAGTCCACAACATTTTGATTACTGAAAAAAGACGAATATCGTTGTTGGTAATAGTACAGACAACGCTAAACCACACTCGATTTGTTGAACCGAAAGAGGGAATGAGAGCTTAATGTGAGAACAAGCTCAGTGAGAAGCGGGAGAATAGAGAGAGTTTATTTTCGCACCTGATCGGTTGAGACGATGTTCAAGTTTTTCAGACCAATTATCATTGAATGGAGTGCAGCAAAATCAATGCAATTTCTTACTTTTTCGAAACTCAGTCGAAAATAGCTTTAATGGGGAAAACAGTTGTTATTAGTATGATTGCTCCGCTGTCAAGAGAGATGCGTGCGCTTTGATTGGTCGAAGATTGCGTCATATCCAGCACTAAATTTCAAAATGGCTGCCTTACGCTTTGTCAGTTTTACCGAGGAAGTGATGAAAGCGGTAAAGAAAATGAAATTCGGAAGAGCACTTCTTAAAAGAAAGATATGAAGTTTATACTATTTGAATTGAGTTTACCTATCAAGTTCTAGTGAAAACTGGCTATTTATCGCGGTACTAGTGATGAAAACAATTAAAACAGAATGGTTTCAACATCAAAACGAATATTTAAAACCGAATTCGAAAGAACCTGAGGAATTATACTAAAACAATTATTCGTATCGAGGATTATTCACCAATATTCATATCGCCTTCGGCGAAAAAAATAGTTAAATATCTGAAATGATATCCATGTATAATTCGTCAATGAAAGCAGACTTACCAGGCATGAACCAATCACGGCACTTGCAAATTTCGACAACATAGCGGGTAAGTTTGTCCAAGAAACATTTGGATTTGCTGTATTTGTCAAAGAAGCGTAGCTTTGGCATCCCGCACTTGGTTCGGTAAGGTGAAGGCAAGTTCGTGATCTGGAAAATATTTCCAATACATCAAGAGAGAGCAAAATTGCTTGTAACAGTCTAACTCAAATCTTTTGATTGTATTCTGACCCCCTTCACCACCAATAAGCGACATTTTTTAAACAATAATCGAATGGAAAAACAATGGATAAATAAATAAATAAACGGATGGGTAGATAAATGAATAAATACTTAAATGAATGTATCTGATTAAACTTTTGAGAATGATTGAAGTTTGTATTTCGACTTGAATTCCCTCTTTTATTCGGCAAAAAGCATTATAACATAGCCAGTAAATTTGTGTAATCAAATTCAATTGCGCGAGCGTGCTTCATATTCCTATTGTGCACGTTCATGACATCAGCAAACAAATCCCTCTAAAAAAAAATCTCCATCGGGTTGAAAATGTTGTAAAACAATTGGTTCACTCAAGAAGCTAGAGTTGCTCTCGGCTGCGCCTCGAGCAACTCTTACACATCTTTCGTGCTCTCCAAACTTCCCGCGTGCTTCATTTCTCAATGAACGCACGCTGACGTATGAACCAACTGTTAAATGTCAATGTCAGCAACATTAGATTTATTAAATCAAGAATACTCCGGTTCACTATAAAGCTACGTTACCGATCAGCCATCTTCCAATTACTCCACCAATTGATTGATTTAGTTTGAGGCTAGCCGCTTCAACAGGATTACGTTTTACATTTTAATTAAGAATCGAAATACGAGATCAGGGCGTAATTTCTACAAAAATCTCAAGCACGCAATACATTTCTCCTAAAAAAAAAGGCTTTTTGGATGAAAATTTTTTACTAAATAAGGACACCTTGCTATAAATGTGCTAATTCAATTTACTTTCCATTGTTGAAAGGGCAAACCGAAGACAAAATATTAGTATTTCAAATTAAGACTTTCTTGCTTACGATGAAAAAAATGAGGAAATCTTATCAATAAATCTTTGACTCAATTTTAGAATTAAAAGTAACGATGACGGTGTTGATTAAATAACTTTTACATTTCTTGCTCAATTAAATACAAAGCAATATTTAATCGTGTTGTTCTCAGTAGAGATTTCATCTTTTCAACTTCCCATTTTTAAATTTCCTCAACCAACTTTAACTAGTTGAAAGAAGTATTTCTAAAGGGGGAAAAAGAGTTTCAAACGGCATCGAGATACCGCATTTTTGTTAACGAAAACTTCAAAACATGAATTAGATATAGCCGACGCCATGAAATTAGAAATAGATTTTAAGTTGTTACTTAACTGCAAAAACTATAAGTAAATGAAATCTGAGCGCACCTTTTTCTTCTTTAGTTCCATGTATGTCGTAAACCCAGGAGATACGGCTAAGCCCTGCATTTTAACTGGAGTTTCATCTTGGTCGTGCAAAATAACCTTGAAGCCTGCACTTTCAACAGCAAAATAATAATCATAATGCTGAACATCGATGAGAAGACGTAAGCCTTTGTCTTCACCCGTTCTGCTCGTCAAAAGGGCCGAGCTATTTTTACCGGAGTTAAACGTAAAACAAACATCTCCATCAGCGTTCTTAAACTCGGTAAAGTTTTTATGGTCACATTTTGAATCTTTTTGCCATTCACATTCCTGAATCATTTCGTCAAGTCGATGGGCGGCATTTGACAGTGTGTTTGTCATTTCTTCTCCTGAGATTTCCTCCATGAGGTGACTGACGTTTTCTCTCTTAATCTCTTTTCTGAAATATAACTCGTGAAAACGAGTTCCATTCATTTTGGAGAAGCGAGCATCATTGTAATTGCAAAGAGTTACCGCAGGGAACACCAAACTGTTCTCGTAGACAATAAGCGTGGTGGTGGTAAAAGGGAACTGAAAGTAATTTTTAATACTCACTGTACACTTCTCGAAGAATAACGCGAATGCCCCGAGTAGTAATAAAGTCCATATTACACGGCGCACAGGTGGGTTACCTGAGAAGCAAAAGTGAAACCCATGCAACGTGCACGAGTCTAGAAAGGAAACCCACAATTCGTGAATCTTATCAGACTTCTTCTTTTCATCCAACAGCTTCCTGCAGCTTTCATAATCGTTGTTCTTCTTGCATTTCTCGTAGTCGTTCTCAGGAAATCCCCCCTCAAATACAGCTGGCCAATTTGTCTTCAACGTTTCCGTCACGGCTAATTCTTTACCGTTCGTCTCCGACTTGATGTACACGACAGAAATGTCCTTCTTGCAGTGATTGCAAAACGCATACACATTGTTAGTTCCCGGGCTGAGCTTGTCACCACCTTTGATGAGAATCTTAACATCCCCCGTCTCCTCCGCAGAGGAGTCGTTCTCGTTGTATAAGTTCGACATTTTTCTTTTTGCGTCTGCCCCAGCAAACAACGAACCTTAACCAAAACACCACACGGAGATTGCCAAGCCAAACAGCGTCACCTCAAAAGTTACGGAACTTTGCTAGAACGTTGTCATAAATAAAGGCCAGAGAGATCATTTGAACCAAAACCTTGAAACTTTTTCTTATATATATATATATATTTCTCCATGTCGGCCTCTAATTAATTCTATCTCAGATCTGCTTGGATGAAGTAGAAAAAACCAATCAGATATGGTATTCAGTGCACCATACCTGTTATTCTGCCCATTAAACCTGAATTTGCATGTCAAAGGAAGTCATAAATTTAAATTAGTCGCGTTGTTATATTTCAGAGGATAATTTAGACAGACAGGTGGTAGAATAGCCGAGAATAACCGCACATATCACCCTGTGACTTATTTCTCCCAGTCCAACGCAATTAAACGATATCCCACTTCTTCTCTCACCACAAAGCACTGACAGGAGTTTCTAAGAAAGTTTTCCCGTGTCTAGTCCATTAAGCAAAATAACCTACTTGCATTTATCATTATTGACACTGCTCTACGTATTTTGGAAAATACGTGATTTATTCGTCTTAACGTATTTAAATTGTCGTCAAGTAATAAATTATATGTCATCCAAATATGATGGCGAGTTAATAATATAAGACCGTTTTTTATACGACGAGATAATTTCAAGCAAAAATCTTCTTTCTAACGGTGCGCTGTCGTTCCCACTGAGTTAGTCCGTAGGACGCTTATTGAGAGGCCTTTAAATTGTCGCTTTTTTATGAGGTAGACGCCCACAAATGTTATTTATTATTAATATGCTTTGTCCAATTTTCACGTAAAATCACCAAGAACGAAGAAAAATACTAAAATAACACGAACACGATAAAAATACAGCGACAGGTTGAGAAAAAGGATGAAATATCTATTGTAAAATTTAATTGACAAGTAGTTTGTTTGGCTCGGCGGCTGAGGACACTTCATGAACTTAGAAAGAAAGGAAAACAGTGAAGAAAAGCGAAAACAATAATGGGACGCTACAATCAATAGATGGTTGGGTGAGATTCCTTTTATCCAATTTTGATCAGAAGTTTCAGAAAAACATCTAAATCACGAGCCAAATTCAAGAGATATAGAGGGGAATATTTTCCTATTTTCAATTCCTATACAAATCCATCAAAACAGGAAGAGGCGGGATTTAAGTAAAACCTCCATAGTTGCTGAGACATGAAAAAAAGAACCTCTGAGTTAATTAAACATATTCCACGATAGCATTTATAAAAACATGCCACAATTTCAAGATGGGAAAGACTGAGGTCATGTTTTACTCAGACCTTTGTAAAATCACCCGCTTCTCTTGTCGATTTTTAAAATGGAAACGGAATGCAAATTGTAAACCACAAACGGTAAAATTAAATTTTTCGGTCATTTTTTCGCAGTTTATATCATTCGTCTCCAAATAAGCAATAAACGTCCCACTAAGCTCAAGCTGAAATAGAGATTTCAGAAACGACTTTTTTTTTCTAACTCAATCTCTCCCGTCGGGAGCTTTCCTTGTCAAAATTTGGTTTACTAATTGTTTTGTTTTTAAATATGATAGCTAAATTATTCTTCTTGTGGATTAAATGGTTCAAAACATTCTTTTACTGTTGTTAGTATCAACAAGGTCGACAAATAATTTTTTGAATACGTTATTCAGTGTTTTTGGCCATCAGACCTTTTGGGACTTAAAATACAATAATCTGCGAGTTCTTAGATCAGTTACGATTACCAAATTTTCATTTTTTATCTCCTACTCGGATTTAAGGCTGTCACAAGAATTTTCCTGAAAGCATGGAAAAAGCTTGGCATCAACATTTAGGTAGCTGGGAACCTTTCCTTTCGTTAGATTACGTTTTTGTCAGCTTTCCAATTTTAGTGATGGCTTTCACAAACATAATGCTACAACCTCTTTGGTCCTCAAAGTTTCAAAAGTATCCTAAACCTGATAATGCTGTTAAATTACCAGCATTGTTTCACTTAGCGGAAAGGCATTGCAATGTAACAGTCTTAAGTTTACAGGAACTTGATTTCATAAATTATCCAGGTTTGCGTAGAAGATATCATGAAATTATCCAGCTTTAGCATTTTTTGCCCAAGAAATATTTTGAATATCAGAAGTTGATATTACAATGTTTTTTGCGTTATAATATAACCGAGAGCTTTTTCGGTGAAATCTCTACAGAATAAATATAATTTATCATAAACAATTTCTTTTCTAAGAAATACTTTTATGTACAATCATAATAGTAATTTCACATAAATTAAATTATACTGAATATTATGTTAGTTATTATTTACTCCAAACTAACTAAGTCCGTCAATGTTTTCTAATCACTTATTGTGATACTTGTATTTGGTGAATAGCACCATTGCCAGAAGATCCAAATATTCGACAAACGTCAAGAGACTGGCGCCGAGAAAGAGACCAATTTGACCTCCCACGTCACCTGAAAAATGACGTAAACTCATAGGTTAAGACTGGGTACAACTTCAGGCGTTAGTAATCTCTGGTGTTTTAAAATCTGGTGGGTCGAGAGGTCTGGGTTCGAACAATGGCCGGGTCTTTCGCTTAGTCCTTTTCACTCACAGGGCCTCTCTCCCCTCAGGAGTATAAATTGATAACCCTAAATTGTCAGAGCAACCTGAAGAAATACTGAGGAAGGGCTAACTGCAACGGAATATCATCCCACCTAAGCAAAGTGACAGGCGCCTAGCTGCTTCATGATACTAAAACCGTACAGAATCATGTATGTTACCCACTCCCCCCCCTTTTTTTTCACCCGAAACCTTTCCTTGATATCAATAAATGGTTTGCCTGGTTGAAATGAGGAGGAGGTTTTTCTTATGCAAAAAAAATTGTCTCGGAATTAAGCTTTATGATGCGATGAGTGCAGGATTACGTCCATACATGCAAAGCTTGTATTCAAACTACAAGTTGGTCGCAAGCTGAAAGGGAGCAGGGGTGGGGGAAGGGGGCTGGGAGGTTTAAGAAAATTAAATGTTTCAGCATCATAGTGTTACAGGAGTGGGAAATTCATCGTAGCAGCTCGTTGTAAGTATTATATTGTAAGTGATGTACTGTAAGCAATGTAATGTAAGAGAGTTTATGAAATGTGAGAAATGTTGCCGCCGTGAATAATGCAAATATATATATATATAGTAATAAAAAGGAAATAAAAAGTTTCCTACCTAACAAACTGTACAGATCATAACTGGGAACCTGTCTCACATCAGAGTAAGTTAAAGATTCGAAATAAATCCTTAACTCCAGAAGGTTATCTCTGAAATTCAAGTAAAAAAAGTCCAACAATAAGAAATAATTTCATGAATACCGGTGATTGTAATTCATAAAAGAAAACACAAATACACAAGAAAAATAGGTACCAATGTTGGACACGCGATCGTTTGTTTGTTTGTTTTTTTGTAAGCACCAGGCGCTACCCCCGTGTGGAGACTGGAACGAATGATAAAGTTTTGTTTTGAGCACATGGAAAATGTCAGAAGTGTGTTTTAAGCCGGGACCCTGATAGAATTTCCTACGCCTAGGAATCTCCAAATGTTGCATTAAGGTTTAGAAATCTGACGTCACACTACCTCAGGTACTGTCTGTTTTCTTCGGGTGAACCTGTCAAATTTCTCTCTTTGGAAAGAAGTAAATCAGCATAGGCATTGGCCGGATAGCGGGCATATGACATCTGAGCAGAAAATTCCACGCTTTCACAAGCCACGGGACACTCGTCCAATTTCTTGTCCTCGAAATGCACTGAAATTTAAACACAGTGTTTCTGAAAAATCTACTAAATACAATTTTCGTTTTCTGCCATAGCTAAAGATTAACTGCAAAGGTCATGAAGCCTAACATATGTCTAGAACTGACCATGCACAATGTCCAAGAGCCCACCTGGTATTCTGATCCAGCTGATCAATAAAAGCATGCAATTATTTCATCTGGGCTCGCTGTGTTAACGCACACAAACATAAGGCAAAACAAAAGCAAAAGGTTTTGCATTGTCAGGGAGCTTACAAAACTTTTTCATTTTGCTTGTGCTGCTTACATAATAACGTTCCCTTACCAAGTATGATTTTGAGCCTCGCTACTTAAGTAACTGCAATAAGATTGAATCCTTTTCTTTTCTCGTATATTACATTTAAACTTAAAACAAACACTCTCGTTTGTCTAAATCAACATGTGTGTGTGTTTTTTTTTTCACTCTCCCCTAAGTCAAGAGACATCTTCGACTTAACATCACTGGGTCTATTCATGAACACTTCTTACCCCAGGCCGGCCACATGCACGTATGACTCGTTTCCAGATCGCAAACAGGAATTCCGACATCAGCTCCTACAGACAAATCAATAGAGATGTCAAGCCCAGAAAACTCACAACGGGAAAACGTCGCCCATATATGGAACGACAGTGAGATTTTTGTTAAAAATTTACAGATCCATAAGGGTACACCCTTCGCCAACCAACATCAAGTGTCAAAAGACAGGCCCTCTATCGGAATCCCCAGGGTAAGAGAAAGAGAAGGCGACCAGTGAACACCTGAGGTTATGACCTCGAGGTTGACATCAGAAAGACCGGCCATTCGTGGAGGTAACTAGAAAGGATAGCTAAGAACAGAGGTCTCTGGCGGACTGTTTTTGACGGCCGATGTCGTAGGAGGAGCAATAGGCTTAGATAGATAGATAGATAGATAGATAGATTAGCATCATATGTCCAAAGAAAAACGGGCACAAAGGATCCTTATGGGCCAAGTTCCATATTATGCATCAAGCTAGCTCTTTATATCGCAAATTCCCTAAGGTAGCGATAGACTAAATGATCTTTCGCTTTTCCGTTTGAGCTGAAATGGCGTCAAGTTTGCTTGTGATTTCGGTTGTTAGGTTAATTAGGTAGGAAGTGGGTAAACTTGAGTGATGGTGATGTCATTAAGAGGGTCTGAGTGGAAGTGGACGGTGGGGGGGAGGTCATTACGTCAGTTGTCGGATAGAATTTCATTAATTTGTCGGTAGTCGGTAAAAGTTTTCGATCTTTGTCGGTAGTCAGTTAATCTCAGTTAATGATTAAAAAATGCAAGTTAATTATTCATATTCGAGTACCAGACGCTGTTGTGGAAATGAGGCCGCGCTCCGACCCGGTCATAAAATAAGTTTGATGACAGGAAATTCTTTAACTGAAACTTAAACTGTAAGAGGTTACCTCTAAGGCTAAAATTCTTTTTTTAGAATGCAAGTATCAAAAATGTCAGAGCATGTTGGTTAGTACTTACTTGCCGCTTATAAGTAATCTTTTTTGGCGTTTTGGTTCCCATTTACATTTTCGCCCATTTTTGTTAGTCTGTTAACCCCATTCAGACTCTTCGTAAAGGCAAGATTAAGCTCATTAAGTATCATAGAACCAAAACCGCAGAAACCAAAACGGCCAATTGGAGCAAAGGAAAATGTCATAAACTTTGCATCTGATTGGTTGAGAGGATGGCACGAGTCTTTTTGGACGAAAATCACTGAGCAACAGACAGGTCAAAAATCAGTTGATGATTACTATAGTGTGGTAACTCGCTCAGTGGAGAGAGAAGCTAATTGCTAATATTTGAAATTATTTTAATGTCGAATTCGTCAACTGAAAGCGAACTTACCTGGCATGAACCAGGCACGGCAATTGCAGTTTCTGACAACATAACGAGTCAGTTTGTCCAAGAAACATTTGGATTTGCTGTATTTGTCAAAGAAGCGTAACTTTGGCATCCCGCACTTGGTTCGATAAGGAGAAGGCAAGTTCGTGATCTGGAAAACATTTCGAACACACCAACAATGAGCAAAATGGCCGAAGACACTACAGAATAACCATTTTTTGAAACAATAATGTCATTTAATATAGGTTTTGCTGTTTTGCGCCTGGAAGTAATAGACTTCCGGCAACTCAAATTTGGAAAAAATTGACAATTGAAACATTTAAGTAAGCCTATTAACGAAAAGTGGAAAATTTAAATAAACAATTATTGCATTTGTATTTGCTGGAACAAGATTAGTTATAGCTAACTCATATCCAATGTACGCTCATAGAATAGTTATTAAATGAGAATGCTCGTGATTGTATTTTTGAGAATAGTTGAAATTTATCTTTTCCACAGAGACTTTTCCTGTTGATGCTAACAGCATCAGATTCATTAGAATACGACCAGTCTCTCCTTTTTGGCGAAGAGAATATCAGTGGGGAAAAAAAGAAAAAAGAAAAAAAAAAAAAAGGATTTGATGCTAGCGCGCCGCATAGAACTTTGGGATTGAGCTCCGCGAAAAGCAATACTTTTTGTGCGCCTTATACCATTAAGCGCTGAAATCAATTCTTTTTACACTGACTTTATTTTACTCGAGCGTCGCACATCGTTGAAAGGCAAAGACGGTTCTACATAATTATTGATTGAAGTATATTCTGGACCCTCTGTGACACCGGTCAAAGCTATCGATTGCCTCAACAGAAATTTTTTTTAGTTTTTAATAAAGAATCAAAACAGATATCCAGACGATCGTTTAAACAAAAAAAAAACACCAGTAAGCAACTCATCCTCTAAAAATAAAAATAAAAACGCTTTTTGAATGAATATTTCAGTAACTATGAACACCTTGCTATAAATGTGCTAATTCGATTCATTTTCTATTGTTGAAAGTGCAAAGCGAAGACAAAACAGTATTATTTCAAATCAAAGTCTGTTCTCGCTTACGATCCGGAAAGTAAGCAATCTTACCATTTAAAGCTTTGAGAAACAATTTTAGAATTAAAAGTAAGGTTATTTTAACCTCTTCTTAACAAAAATTGAACGATAAAAGTGTTTGTTAGATAGCATCTGCATTTCTCCTATGGTATCACGAGTAAGTAATATTTAATCGTGTTGTTCTCAGTAGAGGTTTCATCTTTTCATCATCATTATTTTTTTGTATTATTTTATCAGCTAACTTCAACTTTTGTTGATAAAAACCTTCCTTGAGATAAAAGAAAACTTGAAACAACAACTTCTAAACGGTGTTCCAATACGGCATTTTTTTCGTCAACGAATAACATGAAAATAGAAATTAAATATAGCCGACGTAATGAAATTAGAAATAGCATTTGTGTTGTTACTTAACTACACAAACTACAAGTAAATGAAATCTGAGCGCACCTTTTTCTTCTTTAGTTCCATGTATGTCGTAAACCCAGGAGATACGGCTAAGCCCTGCATTTTAACTGGAGTTTCATCCTGGTCGTGCAAAATTACCTTGAAGCCTGCGCTTTCAACAGCAAAATAATAATCATAATGCTGAACATCGATGAGAAGACGTAAGCCTTTGTCTTCACCCGTGCTGCTCGTCAAAAGGGCCGAGCTATTTTTACCGGAGTTAAACGTAAAACAAACATCTCCATCAGCGTTCTTAAACTCGGTAAAGTTTCTATGGTCACACTTTGAATCTTTTTGCCATTTACATTCCAGAATCATTTCGTCGAGTCGATGGGCAGCCTCTGTAAGCGTTTTTGTCATTTCTTCTCCTGAGATTTTCTCCATGAGGTGACTGACATTTTCTCCTTTAATCTTGGTTCTGAAGTAGAGCTCATGCACAGTGGTTCCATTCATTTTGGAGAAGCGGGCATCGTTGTAATTGCAAATACTGACTGCGGGAAACACCAAGCTGTTCTCGTAAACGATAAGCGTGGTGGTGGTAAATGGGAATTGAAAATAATTGATAATACTATCGGTACACTTCTCGAAGAATAACGCGAATGCCCCGAGTAGTAATAAAGTCCATATTACACGGCGCACAGGTGGGTTGCCTGAGAAGCAAAAGTGAAACCCATGCAACGTGCACGAGTCCAGAAAGGAAACCCACAATTTGTGAATCTTATCAGACTTCTTCTTTTCATCCAACAGCTTCTTGCAGCTTTCATAATCGTTGTTCTTCTTGCATTTCTCGTAGTCGTTCTCAGGAAATCCCCCTTCAAACACAGCAGGCCAATTGGTCTTCAACGTCTCCGTCACGGCTAATTCTTTACCGTTCGTCTCCGACTTGATGTACACGACAGAAATGTCCTTCTTGCAGTGATTGCAAAACGCATACACATTTTTAGTTCTTGGGCTGAGCTTGTCACCACCTTTGATGAGGATCTTAACATCCCCCGTCTCCTCCGCAGATGAGTCGTTCTCGTTGAACAAATTTGACATTTTCGTTTTTCGTCTGCCACAGCAATCAACTGTCCCCCACCAAAACACTAACGTATGGAAATTTCTCAGCCAAGCACAGATACCTCAAAAGTTACGGAACTTCGCTAGAATGTTGTCGTAAACTTAGGGCAGAAAAGATCTTTTGAATCAAAACCTCAACTTTTCTTATATATATCCATGTCGGCCTTTAATTGAATCTATCTTGGGTCTGCTCGGATGAAGAAGGCAAAACCAATCAGATATTGTGTTCAGTGTACCATACCTGTTATTCTACCCATTAAACCTGAATTTGCATGTCAAAGAAGTCATAAATTTAGACGAGTGTTGTTTTATTTTAGGGAATAATTTAGACAGACAGGTGGTAGAAGAGCCGGGAATTACCACACATATCACCCTGTGACTTATTTCCTTCTAGTTTAACGCAATTTACCAGCAAAGTTTCATTTCTTCTCTCACCACAAAACCATTGTCAAGAATTTCAAGAGAAACATGCCCATGCCTTGTCTATTAAGCAAAATAACCCACATGCATTTATCATTATTGACACTGCTCTCCGTATTTTGGAAAATACGTGATTTATTCGTCTTGACGTATTTAAATTGTCGTCAAATAATAAATTATGGTCGTCCACCTAAGGAGGTGAATTGACAACATAAAACCGTTATTATACTTCGAGAAAAATTCGAGCCAAAAATTATCGCCCATCGATGCGTTGTCATTCCCACTGAGTTGGTCCAGAGGAAGCTTCTCGAGAGGCCTTTAAATTATCGCTTTTCGATGATTTAGACGCACACGAATGTAATTTATTATTAATATGTTTTGTCCAATATCCACGTAAAATCGCCACGAAAGAAGAAAATAGTAAAATAACATGAACATGATTAAACTGCGGCACCAGGTAAAGAAAAAGGCTGAAAGAACGACGGTAGAATTTAATTAACAAGTAGTTTGTTTGGCTGCGCGGCTGAGGGCACTTGTGTGAAATTAGAATGAAAGGAAACAATGAAGATACGCGAAAACAATAAATGAGACGCTAAAATCAAAAGATGGTTGTGTGTGATTCTTTTTTTCTAATTTTCAACAAAAGTCATTGAGAAAATTCTTAACTCCATACCCAAATTTACTAGTATGTCCGGAAATATTTCCACATTTTCAATTTTATGCAAATTTGCCACAACAGGAAAGAGGAAGATTTTAGAAAGACCACCATAGTTGCTACGAGATAAAGAACCTCCGGGCTAATTGAACATATTCCACGAAAACATTTACAAAGCTATTCAAAATTTTGCAAAATCATCCACGTCTCTTGCTGTTTTTAAAGTGGAAACGGAATGTAAACTGTAACCATTACACTAAGTTATCAAGTCTAAAATAATGTTTCTCCCCCAGGAAAAAAGAAAAAAATAATTCTTTTAATTCATATTATTAGGAAATAACCGATTTTAAATTATTCATTCACCAGTGTGTATGCCGCGATTTGGCGCAAGAACCGCAAGTGATTAACCAAGAATTTTACATGGAAAGTTACAACCATAAAAATTAGGACTCCAGTGAGAAAAGTGCTAGAGCAATTTCTTTTTTTTCAAAACAAGAGAAAACAAAGGTCATGCCAAATTCCTGGCACCGGGACACAAAACGTCTATCGCGGAATCTAGTCATTAAGGGCAAATTTATCAAACGAACGATTTGCACCTTAACTTAATGACATTCGGCCCGATAACTAGTGATTTCCACTTGAAATAACTTCAGCAAATGGGATTAAATTTAAAAACTCTAAGAGACTTATCAAGCACTGTCTTAAATCGCCGACGTTTGACGTTAATAAGTTGTATCTCTTGTGGAAAATAACAAAACAAAAATGTTTTCATGCTGCGAAACATCAAAATTAGAAGTTCCATCTCATTATACAATAAAATGACAGAAGCAGCGGTTCAAAACTTAGCCTTGTGTAAAAAGGGTTACTATGCTCACCAGTATAGTCACCAAAAACTGTGTATGTTTATTCCACTGATGCTGCCTACATTTATCTCGGGGAAAAAATAACATAGAAATAAAAAAAATAATAATAAATAAGAAAGCGGCAGTTTAAACTATCCTTGCCGCAGAGATAATTAGCGAGTTTTGCACTGGGATGACAGACAAGGGAGATAGGAGTGAGTCTCGATTAGATGCTTAAACCAGAGAAATCTTTACAGAAAAAAAAATTTTTTTATTCAATTTTTTCAATCAATCACATACTTGTCTGTTGCACGTATTTCTTTTGGACAGTCTACTTTACAATAACATTTAAAAAATCACCACAACAGTGGGTTCTCCTTCACATCGTTGGGCTCTCAAATACTACGGCGCTACAATAACAGCATATTTGTGAACAACATTCCTATAACTCATGGAATTTTTGAAGGATGTTTAGGAACTTAATTTATCCCTGATTTACAGTCGGTATATTGCATTTCACTTTTAAAATGTAAGTGTTCAACTTTTTCTTCTAGCATGTTACTTTTCGCGGTGGACTCAACAAGCTTGTTTATAAATAATAATTGATGCAAACCTACATATTTTGACTGTATTCTCGAGCGGTATTTAGAATGCTGTAGCTTTAGGCTGAACTCTTCAGTTCTTAAGTAAATGTCTTGCAGAAGAGAATCAAAACCTTCCCAAAAATACCCTAATCAAAAACTGAACAGTGAAATAGAGTCTTGTAAGACCAGAACAGCTAAAAACTTGATGTTACCCTGTTCATCATACAGAATCATCACCATTGTTTAGCAACTACTTTTCTTCGTGTTGTTTAAGCTGAGTTTACTGGTTCGAGCAGTTCTATATTTAAAGACTTGGCACGTCGACATGTTACACCACAAGAAGCCAGTCTTGGTTTCTCACCGAAGTTTTCCGAAAAATTTTTAACACGAGGATTGTTACTGGAGGGACACTTGATTTATCTCTTGTGCCAGTTTTTTTTATTTTTTATCCTATAATTTCTGAATGTTTCACTTCTTCAAGCAACGGCACAGCTTTTGATGCCATTAATGGAATGCACTTGTTATTATATATTTTCCAGACGCAACAATACCTCACTCAAAATAATTATAAAGTCACCTTTACCCCATCCATTTCCAAAAATAAAGTAACCATTAGTTTATTTTCTTCTCTCCCATCCGCCAACTCTTTGCACGTTTCGCGTGCGTTTGTACAGTCCTCAACGGATCTTAACAGGAAATCTCCGGCGCGCCCTTGAGGTACCTTCCCTAGCATGCTGCAATTGCCTCCATCTCTCCCCAGAGATATCTTCACAGAATTCCTTACCACCAGACGATTTGTAGATTGAAACAGAAAATATCAACACAATGGCTGGTAAATAAAAGAAACTCGTCACACATCTGTGCTTTTGCCGCCATACTTTGACTTTAACCAACTGACAACGACCATGACAAACAGATCAATAACCTCCAACAACGTGATGAAACTTGCCCCAAGCACGAGTCCCAGCTGGCCACCAGCGTCACCTGTAAAATACGAAAGTTGACTGTTAGACGACAAAGCGTCGACAAGTTTTGACGTTGGGTGCATCGTTCACAATGGGCGTTAATGACTGTTCTATTAGTAGTTGATGGCGATTTGTGGTTGAGGAATAGTTTGTTTTCCTTATGGGTGGCACGCTATCGAATCAACTAAAACGTATTAAAATTACTTGTTCCAGGTACGGACAACACAACGGACAAGATCGCCGGCCCCAATGAAATAAATATGTCGATGTCATCTGCCTTCCTCTGGTAACACTCGATACTGTTTCGACAAGTGTCACAACAAGTTCTTGAAATCAAGTGCTCCAGATCACTTTAAGACTCTATATCTCATTCTTCCAAGCCTTTAAATAAGTTTGCAAGAGTCCGCAGTTTTTTGGGAATTGATCCTTCTGCAGGATCCAAAATTATATATTCGTTGAGAAAATGAACTTAATATAAATTTTCCTCTTTTCCTTTCATAAAAAACAAAAAAAACACAAACAAACAAACAAAAAGTTGCCTTACCTACTAACTTGAAGAAGCCATAGGAAGGGGTTTGCTCAAAAATATCGATTCTAAGCTCGCTGAAGAAGAACTTTAACACAACGTAGTAGTCTCTGCAAAGACAAAGTTTAACAGCTTAATATGTATCAAATAATTTTTTAAGATAACTAGAAAACTTCGTATCCAAGACGTCTTCAAAATAAAAACACTTACAACATAAATTTAATAACTTCGTCCGTGTCATTAGGTAAGTTTCTGCCTTGTGTGAGTTTCTCGTATTTTTGCTTTACTGGAACCAGTTTCTGTGGCAAGTAAAGAGTTTGAGACAACTGCGCTTCATATGACACCTTCTCGCAGTCTACTGGACAATCAACCGGGCTATTCATCCTGGATTCAAATTCCTCTGAGAGAAGAAAACAGCAAAAAGAAAACTAGGGTGAGAAAAAAACTTTGAGGTATTTCGTTACACTTTTCTGCAATGTAACGGCTGTTAAACAAAACAAAGCGATTTGGATAGGAACAAACAAATTTAGTTGTGGTTTGGAGCAATTCTTTTATTTTAGCGTTGCAAATAATCTGGGATAGCTTTGGTTTTTACAGTCTATGATTGGTCCAAAATATTCTTATAACCTCAACCAATCGCAAATACAACTCATATCAATCGCAACTTAATTAATGGCGTTTAATAGCGCTTGACAACGTTCGTAAGTCTTCCCTTTAGGTTCCTATTGGTTTGTTTGTGACATTTACCTCTTATTCTGATTGGTGATTGATTTTTTTAATCTTGTTTTGTCTAGCGACGCTTTGTTTCACGGATTTATCGTGGCGGTATTGTGTTGGGTCTGTCTTAAGATCACAAGAAAATATCTAGTTGGACCTTTCTGGTGATGAGGGACTTATCTTAAAGATCTCTTACTATCTATCTTCAAAGGACAAGATTGCTCACCCCAAGCTGGCCACATACAATTGATGGTCTTGTTCAACGAACACAGTGTAAAATTATCCTTCGTTTCTACAAATAAATAAGAGAAAAAGGTTTGGAATTTCCAAGGAAGAGCTCCAGTCAAGTTACGAATTATTATTCCCACAAAGACATTCAAGCTGTATCATGTTACCGTGCCAGACATTAGGAGAGAGAGAGGGCGACCTCCCACAATTCATCGAAATAATTTACTATATAAAGGCGTTACTAGCCCTTCAAACCTCAATTGTTTACAGGTAATTTTAATTTGCTAAGTTTAGTATTTTTGTTGTGTTCCTTCTGGGTGGACCTCTAGACGCATCATTTCTTTCTGGCCAAGCGGGCTCACTTTTACCCATCATGAAACATGGTGCTAAATACATATGTATTGAGTTGAATAGGTTTTAGGTGGAAAGTAAGAATCATCGTAGCTATGATATAACTTATGCAACCGGTACTTTATTTACTCACTGACCTGGCATAAACCAACCTCTGCAGTCACACTTGTGAGAGACATGTTTAGTTAGTCCTTCTAGAAAACATTTATTTCTGGAATAAGCGGGGAAATAATCCAACGTTTTTCCACCACAATTTGTGCTAAAAGGATTACGAAGATTTGTGAGCTAAAAAGAGACGAAGAAATGGCAATAGATTAAGAAAACAAAGTGCATTTTGTACAGCTTGCCTGATCGTTTGGTTGTGTAGCTAGTCAAATCTTTCTTGAGAATGATTTAGAGCCAAAGGAAGGTCATGGAATGCAGAGGAGTATGCGTACTTGCTAAGGGCGCAACAACTCATCGGGCAACAAAGAGGAATGACACTGAGCTGCATTGTAAAAAAAAAAACGCATCGCACTAACGTTTGCATGGTACTTGGAAAGTATCTAGCAGAAGACGTATGGATGGCACTTAACTGCAAAAGCGTGATCGATAATCTATTTCCCTCAAAAACGTTCGTAGAGCAGAGACCTTAGTAGCGAATTTCCATTTGAATTATTTCGTCTTTAGCTTGTAATCAATAACCCCTTTGAACAACTGCACGGCGAGTATAGATTTTCTTGGAATGAAAAAAATTGCTTTCTTTCCACTAAACATGCGTCTCTTAAATGTCCGCCACAGCGATGGAGGTGAGAGAAAAAAAAAGAAAAAGAAAAAAAAAAGGAAGAACAACAGGTATTTCGAAAACACGCCAAGGTGCTACAAAACAATTTGATTACAAGGTTTGGTGGTTTTATCGCTCTTACATCTTACAAAAATAAACATCTTCATTAAGCACCCTGAGAGAAATAGGACTCCATTTACATTCCCTAAGAGCAAGTTGAACACAATTTTTTAAAGACCTTTTCCCGTTTTCCGTGTTGAAAAGAATAACTGAAAAGTTTCGTTTCGTTGATGGTTTCACCTGCTAAGCGAAATATTTTGAAATGAGTTAAAACGCGAACGGTTTTATGCAAATAAAGGCCCCTCATCACTTTTGGAAGTAATTTTTATTTCCCGAAAAAAAAATTACTCTATGAAGATTGGCTTAAAGGATAAAGCGAAAAGCTAGTATCACAAATTAAAACGTCGGAGAACATTTCTAATCTCTATCCGCGTAAATGAATCACATCAATAAACAAGTATGAGACAAAATGCATTAAAATAATTCAGTACTCATCAGCAGGGACTTTCCAGATTTCTGCGATACGGAGAAACAATTTAATAGAAGTCATACAGAGAAGCACTTACAGACCAAAATAAAAACAGTTACGATGGAAAAAAATTAATCGAAAAGTTAGCACTTTAGAAAAAAGGAAAAACATTGTCAATGTACCTCAACTTGTTCGCAATTGTGGATTAAAATCTCATTCGTTTGGTTATTGCAGTTTGATGTTACTCAGATTGAGAAAAACTATCACAAAGCTATACTAATTTTAAAATAGAAAAAAAGCCTTCATGTTCAAAAATCATCAAAAGACCGCAACCAAACTACACCATTTCCGGGCAAGTAAATATCATAAAAAACAATGCGTTTATTACCACTTTCGATGATGTACCACGGTGTAAAGAAAGCTTTAGTTGATTTTATGAGGAAGAGAAAACGCAGAACATGGAATTTGAAATACTGAATTATAGTCGATAATACAAATTTCGTTTTCGGTCCAATTATGTCTTAATTTGATGGTCTCCAAAAATGGTGCACTTAGTTTAAATTGCTGATAAAGATTTTCACTGAAATTGTAGTAAGCCGGTTATAGGATTTTGCATACGGAAAAATGTCGCCACAGATTTCGACTTACCTCGTAAAATATTAATGTATGCGGTTAAGCAATGTTTGTAAAATGCGTCATTCAAAGCAGATCGTGAAATTGCAAATTGAGGATGCACGTTTGGGTATAAATAAAAACTAGCTGCGATAAGGCAAATTGCGACATAGAAACACGAAACGTTTCCTTTTTTTTCCAGAACCAAAAGCAAAACTTTCAGTCCGCCTAGAAATTCAAGTCTGACATCAAATTGCAGTCAATTTTACAATTTGACCAAAAATAAATACCCAAAAACCCAAACTGGGCCTTTTAACAATACATTTACCATTCATTCGAATTTGATGGTTTAATTTGTTTCGGTGGACCAACCGATGCGCTAAGAAACCCAAATAATTGCCCTTGTCCTCGTCTCCAAAACACTCAGCGTGTTATTTTAAGCTCGTGCTTCTTTAGTTGAGATAAGGACTAAATCCGACAATTTTTCTACCGTGTGCGAGAAGTGGTCACTAACTGAAATAGGAAGTCATTCCATTACGAACCACAACATATCGGAGAAAAGTAATAAAAACCTTAAACAACGTCCCACGCAATACATTAACAAAGAGTGTTGTTGAACAGAACGAGTTTCAACCGAGGACACGTTTCCCTAGAACTATCAAGCGCGCAAATTCTCGGATTAAGTTCAAAGTTTCGTTTGCTGTGATATGAATAAGTCAGTCGATTGTTTGATAAAGAAACCCGCAAGGAGAAAAAGAGAATTGAAGAAAAAATATATATCTACCATCTTTGAGAGGTGAATAAAAAATAACCGACAACTTTAATGTATTCATCTAAAAAGTAATAACGATGCACAATCACTTCGCTCCATAGGGAAAGAATAACTATAAGCTATAACTCCACTAAGTCTCCACAGCGTACAGCTGAAAACGCCCGGGCGCTCGTTACGAAGGAGCCTCTTACACAATGAACGATAACATGGGAGAAACAATTATATAAATTCCTGCCTCTTGTAGAAACTACAAAATTCGCGACAATTCGAACGCAAGCTGCGGGGGTTTACACAAAGCCCAAAACAAAATAATAGAAATTTAACATGACAGAAGAAGACTAAATAAAAATACCTTTTCTTTTTTCATATCCACAAACGTCACGTAACCAGGAGGAACATGAAATCCTACCCGCTTTAGGGGAAGTTCTCCTTGCTGGTGAAGAATAACTTTGACCCCGCTGCCGCCATAAGTTTTCCCCTCCTCCAGAGGCTTCGTGTTCAACACCAGATGTAAACCGTACTTCAGCCCGACATTATCCGTTTCCAAAAGCGTCCTGTTCTCACCCCCGTAATTTAGCGTGTAACATGTGTGCCCATCCGAAGACAGAAACAAGGTAAAGTCTTCGCGATCACAAGGGACTTCTCTACTCTCGTTCACCCCTCGCTTCAAAACACAAGAAATTAAAATGTCGTCTAAGATCGAGAAAGCGTCTTCCAGAACATCCCCCAATACACGTTCCGGATTATGCTCGGTTGAATTTCCTTGCGCACTTCTTCCCCTCCGAAACTTTGCACTCGTTAGTATAGTTTTTCTGATGTCTCTCAGATCGCAAATCGAAATTGCTGGAAGTACAATCTTATTAGGGTAGTCAACAGTGGCGAGTGTACTGAACGGATACTCGAAATACTGAGTTATACTAGTTTTGACCTCGTTGATAAATGCTCCACCGGCGCTTAACAGTATCGCAATCCAGATAACTTTGCGCCAAATTGACTTCGTGTCGAAAACGTAGTGCAAGCCATGTAAAGTGTTATGCAGCAGATAATAATCCCAAACGTGTTTTATTCTTCGTCGACGGTCACCCTGAGGCGTAGTCTCAGCCTCGTTACTGGATAAACATGGTACACTGTCATTCTCGTTCTCGTTTTCATGTTCGTGAGAGAACCCATTGGGTAATGGTTGAAGTTCTTCGGCATCTTTGTCCTCGTCAAAGGAAAATGTATCGTCAGCAATTTTTCGTCGATGCGATGGTGACTGACACGCACAAAATTTCGTAGTCATTTGCTCGCCGTCGAGTGCATTGCACTTTTAAAACGCATTATTCACTCAGCAAACATTGGAACTGGATTCTTCCCAGCGTGCTCGCCCGCGATTGTTACGACGGCAAACGTAAGAACAGGCAACTTCGGCGACTCAGCACTTACAACAAAACATTGATCCAATGCGAAGAGGGAAAAAAATCACTTCCAACTTACAAAACAACAGATAACATCTCAAAATGTTACAACACGCCAACAATTTTTGATTGAGCCAAAATTGCTTTTTATCTCTTTCGTCACTGTTGACATGTAGTACCAACGTTTCCCATTACAACTCGAACACCTGCCACTTTTCAGGAGAGCTCCGGCTATTTATTATTCAACAACAGAACGCTATCTATTATAATTCCACTATCGGCCACTCACAACCTATCTGCATTGTTCTCGAGCGACTGTTGTTCGAAGTATGTTAATTTTGCTTCACATCAGATGAGACCAGCTCCCTTGAACCATTCGCAAAGGCAGAATCTCACTAAGTACGAAGTCACTCTTTTAAAACGATAATGACGATTTGAGCTTTAAAACATCCTGTCGAGAATAATGTTTGCGACAGAGAGAATCCTCAACCTTTATGTAAACAAAGCAAGTCTACGAATTTGCTTTTAATTAGGCCAAGTACCGTCTGGATCGCCACTAATATAGAAATCCTCTAACTTCCCTGCTGTTCCAGAAAAATTTTACTTCGTGTTTCATTTTTCTCCCTTGGATAAAATCAGCATCGAGTCCTACCTAAAAAGTAATTTGTCTGCCTTTATTTATTTAAGCCTTTCCGCCGAAAACAGATACATCGTTTTCGATTCCTACACAGGCTGTTTTGAATTTCTTGCTTTCGGTGTTCTCGTATCCTCATTTAAAGCGAATTCTATGGACGCGATATCCTCGAGCTTCTTTTGGGAAAATTGAAATGATTTATTACATTCATAATCGAATTAACGAAAACTGTAAATTACCTTTTGAGTCAAAATCAAAACTTAAGTTCCGGCGAAATTGGAATTTCACACGAACACAAAGAAAGGTGTTTCACGCAAATATAAATTTATTCAATATATTTCCTGACTTTTCAAAGCACCACCACAAAACATGTTCCTAATTGGTTTTTGGTATCTTTCCTCTCGGAGCCAAAAGAGAAAGAAAAACGCTGTTACGTTGATTTTACGTTAAGGCCTTCGCAGCGCATTTACATGACTGCGGTTGTGCTCCTTTGCCTTGAAACCGAATAAAGAACCTTGTAGATGCCAAGGGATTTGAAACAACAAGCGAACCTTCATGATGACTCGAGTTCCCCGTTGTGAGGGCCTAATGAGTTACCAGCCTTACTCCGCCAGTTATAGCAGGTTCTCCTATTTAAACGTCTTTCTGTCCCATTTCCTGTGCGGAATTTGATAGGAACAGAAAAAAAATATTTAGAGCAATTTGACAGAAAATTGATTAATTAACAAGAAAGACTACTTTTCAGTTCTGTACGATATAGTCACCTTTTTAAATACATAATATTTCCGGCGCAAAAATTACTCTCAGCAAGCCCCCTGCCGCGCAGAAAGACAAAGTTTTATCTTTGTTCCATCTATACATCCGCGTCGAGTTTATAGATGCTAAAACGATATATATTTAGCCCTCAGGAAATTGAAATCACAAATGAGAGCGAGGATGGATAAAACTGACATAGATCGCCAGACCAATGTTCCTGCATTGCTTCTGATTCATAGTGTTGGGGAAGTAAAGAGAGCATCTGTAAATTTTATACCTAGGTTGCCGATATTAGTTTTCCGACGGACTACCGAAGTCCTTTCCGTGATTGCAACAACAGCTTGGCGAACGAAAACCAGTTTTCTGGTAAAAAACGTGAGAAACATATCAGTCGTTGCTCTGCCGTTGTCTTGAAGGAAAATGTTTCGTAAGAAATTGTTTACATTTAACCTTGAGGAAAATACTACAAAGTGCATTTAGGCTCTAGGCGAGGCTATACAATAAGGACGAAAACTTTGGGTTTGTAATTTCAGGGTAAAGATGAACTAATATAGTCGGAAATTTAAGTATGAAAATGTTTCTTATCACTCATCAAACTGGTTACCAAGCGATAGATATTCACGTGAGATATGTCTAAATAATTGCCTCATGAAAGATGGATCGGTCGCAAAGTAATCAAATTTTCAAAAGTATAAATGGCCATAAAAATGAACTAGCAGTGATTGCCTATTAACCAGACAAAATGTTGACGTATATGGTAAAAATCACTTTTCACTGTCTAAAGGCGTGTGTCAAAAACGACGAAGCAATTTCAACAGTTGCAGCAGTTTACTATTTCAAAGAGTAAAGACCACATGCCATGCGCGTTTGGACAACTAGCGGTCCACACTAAGAGCAAACGCCTTGTTAGCACATCCTACCTAATTTATTTTAAACTGAATATTACAGTGACACTATGGCGTACTCGAGAATATACTGTGCAGAATATAATAACAACAAAGTTACTGTACAAAATGCCAATGATCTTATGATTCCGAACAAACAGAATAAAGCCAGTCATTCCCACTTAAGTGTGTGACATGATAGGAATCTGCAAAAACTGCAGCAAAACTTCATGGAAGTTTTCGCTCATTGATGGAAGAAACATCTTTTTTACCGTGCTGATTGCAAGCTCAAAAGCACATCTTCCTCTAGATCCAAGGGAAGCTCGCAATGTGCTCGAGGTAACAACCAGATTGGACCACCCACATTTTGCAGGTTTTTCAAGCGGCTTTGCAAATGAAAACTCATAGCGAACCGATGACTGGAGATGTTACACCCTTTAACCCTTTCAATAAAATGCTACGAAGAGCTGAGGAACAGCTTCTTGGATTCTTCTGCCGCAAGCTATATTTACGTTGTCACACTTTGCATCCAATATCCTTAAGTTAGTACAGTACCACTAGGCAAAGGACAGTCAACATCGGATCAACCAGACCCATTCTGCTCCAACGAAAAAAGGTAGTCGAGGATTGTGATAGAAGCCTCACAGTTAAGGTGGTAGTTAACCCTTATTTTGAGAAAAAAGTCAACAATTTCTTAAATTCTCCACTGGGGCTTCCTAAAACCCTATTTATTCAACTTTTATAACCCGCTTTCATTTTTTGAAAAATTTGAAAATCCCGCTTGAAACGGCTAATTAATCAGAAAGTGGCCTAATAATTGTCCATAGCAACCGTCTGTTTACACTTTGTTTATTATGGTTGCCATGGGTTTTTTTGACCCTGCGCTGGGTCAAAAGTCTCCGAAATCCGTTTCCACAGTCCTCACAAGCCGAATTCCATAGACTCCAGTGCTGATTTTCATTAGCGTAACCATGATGCAGCGGGAGCCAGTAAATTCTCGTTTCTTCGATTTTTTCGAAAGCTTAGAGGAAGGTGAAGTCGGATTATTCTTTCAAACATTTTTGCTTGTTGTACTTTGTGAGATGGCGAAGCATGGTGAAAGAAAATTCAGATCCGTTAGGAGAAAAAAAAGGAAGGGTTTTTGCGGCACTACTGGGTCAAAGAAACGTCCAAAACTGACTAAAGAACCAGATCAAGATGGCCTTGCAGGAAGTAAACTCGAAGTTAGTGACAACAGCGACGCCAGTGAAAGTGAAGAATTGCCCATGGAAGTCAATGTTTCCGCCTCAAAGCTTCAGAATTCTTCGTTTTCGATGTATGAAGAGCAGGAAGGCATTCTAACCCGTAAGAAGTCGATAAATGTTGGGCTCGGAGTTCCATCAGTAAATTGTGACAACATTGCAAGTGGTTATAAAATTCAAGATGCCACTTTACTTAGAGATTGTATCGCCTCAGCAGCAATTTGCAGTTTCTGCCGCAAATCTCAATCAACTTTGCAACTTTTTCAGCGAGATTATCAGAGAGAAGGACTTGCTGAATGTCTTTTTCTTAGATGTTCAAATTGTCATCATGAGACTGAGTTGAAAACAAGTAAGAGACTGGGAGGTGTTGGTGGAGGGGCTCATGAAGTCAACAGGAGGTCGGTATTGGCTTCTCAGAAACTTGGCCAGGCTGGGTTGGCTGACTTTTGTGCTAGAATGAATTTCTGTCCACCAGTGACCAAGAAATCTTACAATGATCATTTGATCCAAATTGAAAAGGCAGCTGTAGAACATGCTAGAACTCAAATGCAGGATGCTGCTGGGAGGCTGTCGGATCTGACAAAAAATAAACATCCTAACAGCATTGAAGATGAAAATGGAACCGAAGTGGCTAAAGTAGCTGTTACAGTTGATGGCACATGGCAGAAAAGGGGCCATTCCTCAAAGATTGGTGTGGTGTTTGTCATTTCAGTGGCAACTGGAGAAATTCTGGATTATGAGGTCAAATCTCTTGTTTGCTATGAGTGTCGAGCTCGTGAGCATATGGACAGAGATTCTGAGGAATACAAAGCTTGGAAAGCCAGCCATACAAATTGCCACATTAACCATTCTACCAGCTCTGAGGACATGGAGGCTTCTGCAGCAGTAGAAATGTTTGGCAGAAGTGTAGAGAAGTTGCATCTCAAGTATACAACTTTTGTCGGAGATGGTGACAGTAGTTCTTTTGGTCGAGTGCGAGAAGCCATGACTGCAAAATTTGGAGACAAATATCCTGTAGTCAAAGAGGAGTGTGTGGGCCATGTGCAGAAGAGAATGGGTACAGCTCTCCGAAAGTTTAAAAAGGAAATGAAGGGAAGAAAGCTGGCAGATGGAAAAGGTGTCGCTGGAAAGGGAAGGCTCACTGACAAAGTTATCAACCGCATTCAAAACTATTATGGTAATGCTATAAGAGAGAATTGTGGCAACCTTCAAGGGATGAAAGAAAGCATTAAAGCAATTCAGTGTCATATGATAGTGGATGAGGACATGTCACTCAAAAAGCAGCACAGACACTGTCCAAAGGGTAAAGACACATGGTGTAAGTTCTGGGCTGACATGCATAATAAGACAAACACCTACGACAACAGCAAGCGTCTTCCTGCAGTTTTCATGAAAGAGCTGGACCCAATTTTTAAAAGATTGTCAGATAATGCTCTTTTATCAAGATGTCTTCAAGGTTTCACTCAAAACCAGAATGAAAGTGTCAATTCTCAATTGTGGTCCAGATGTTCCAAAACTACCTTTGTTGGAGTTCGTAAAGTTCAAATTGCTGTTTGTGAAACTGTGGCTGTGTTTAACACTGGGGCAGCCAGCAAAGCAGTCATTATGGATCTCAGTGGGGTTAATCCTGGTCAAAGTATGTTGAAGGCCCTGAGAGATCAAGACAAAAGAAGGATCGTAACTGCTGGACGAAAAGTTTCTGTGAAGTACAGAACACAAAGGAAGATTTTACGGGCAAAGCGAAAGTCAAAAGGGGAAGTGTCATACTCTTCAGGGGCTTTTGGTCTTGATTCAAAGCCTGAGATATCAGTTAAACAAGGAATCAAGAATATTAAGTCCAAGAAACACATTCAGGAGTTAC